TATATATATATGTGCATATATATAGGTATATATATTTGTTCCCATGCGTCCTCCAAAGGTTTCTTTTTATATATATAAAAGATCCAACACAGATTTCATTGAATAAATCTGAGATCTCCAGGTGCAGACGTTTGAATAGTCAGTGCCAGAACCCCATGTTTTCCTTTCCAGCCGATTTTGCTTGGATCAAGCTCAAAAACCGAGTGAGTCTCGTGGTTTTGTTTACACTGAATGGGGAGGATAGGAACGGTGCCATGGGGCCGTCTTTCATTAATATACAGTGAGGATTTTGTCTAAATTACTGCTATGAATTTCACAGTACACGCTTTCAAAAGCCGTCTCAGGTGGCCTGATGAAACGTGATAGCGCCTCTGCAAACAGATCTACTTTCTTAATAAAAAAGGAAGGTGTTGGGGGTGGAGAAATCCCCCAAAAATAAAGAAAAAAAAAAAAACAAACCACCGTACACCCTCATAACAGAGACAACAAAAAATAAAGCTCAGGCTGGAGTATGGTCTTTTATTTAAAAAATATCCCAACAAAAACAAACAACCAACTTCGTTCCCCAACTCTTCCCACCCCCTCCCTTGCAGAGTGAGATTGTTTTGTCTGGAAAAAAATCCAAAGTATAACAAGGGGAGAACAGTTAGTGCTGATTTTCATTTGCATAAATTTTCATATATTTTGGTGAAAATAATAGACTAGTGGAGAGCGGGGCTTAGTGGAGTCAGTGCAAAGGAAAATCTTAACATGGATCGTTTCGCTGGAGTTGAGAACATGCTTTTTTCCCCCTGTCACCTTATTAAAATCAAAAATTAAAAAAAAAATCTCTAAATCCTGGGAGTTTGATCGGTAAGTGTTTTACATTTTTTTATCTACTTTTGTTTTCTTTAAAGACTTCTGGATATATATTTTCAAAAGCTTAGGACAAGACAGGGAAACCCATGGCAACTGCCTGGAAGGAAACAGGCTGGAAAAAAATGGGAAAGAGAAAGGGAAAAAAAATCCCACCAGCAACAAAAAGCACCTTAGTGAAATATTACATAAAAAGCATGGATTCATTCCAAAGCTCAAGGCAGCAAAGCAATTCTTCAGCGCTGGAAAGTATTTCTGGTTACTACTTCACTTTTCTGGGCACTGTTAATTATTGTAACACCAAGACTCGGGGAGGCTGGGCCGGGGCGGGGGGGGGGGGGGGGGGGGGGGGGGTGGGGGGTGCGATGAAAGCTCTCGAAAATATTACAGATTTGTGAAGGGGAGGCGAGGCAGAGATGCGGGCTGTTTTCAAACGCGGCTTCCAGGGGGCGGGGGGGTCGCCCGGCGGGCGGGGAGGGGGCCCGGCCGGTGCAGCGGGCGGGAGAGGGGCCGGGGCCGAGCCGGGGCGCGGTGACCCGAGCACCTGCCGGCGAAGGGACAGGCGCGGGGGAGGCAGGGGAAGGTGCGGAGCGGCGTGCACGCACAGGGTTAATATTGTAACTAGGGAACAGACGGTTAAGCACAACATCTAGAGCTCTGTAGTGAAAGTCCATCAGAAAGAGTATAATCAATCAAAACTAACCAGGACATCCCTTCATTTTATTCTCCAAGGAGATTGGGGCTGGAGGATTACAGACCAGATTTCACTTTGTTTCTCTCTCTTGACAATCTTGCCTGTCTCTCCGCTGTCCCCGAATTCCATCCAATTGCGAGGTGTAGTCTAATGATCTGAAACTCTTCTATAGCTTTTGGGTCAGTGTGATAAATAATGTGATAAATAATGTAGGATTAAATTAACAGGCCAGATACCGCTCCTGAAAACTTTACAGAACCTTAAATATCCCATTATATGACTTTAAATTATTTTAATTTTACCCTGATTTTTGCATTTTTTTTTTTCCTTGCCACCTCTGGGCTGCTCTTTTGGATACACAATAGCTGGTGATCATTGTAATTTCCTAGAATTAGTTACTTCTTTGGAAACGGTCGATCGCCAAATCAATAAAATGGCTTGTAAAACTACGGAGGTATAGGTTTCAATTTGGGGGGGAGAAGAATCGCTCATTTTCCACTTCTTGTTGACGTGCCCAGCGTCTCTTTTGACTGGGGTTAACTCTGTGTGCTCCATCGGAACAGATGCCGTATAGAGCTGCTCCCTCAAGATCATTTGTTTCCTTGATGGGGGAACATTTCTGAGCAGAACATATTGGTTGCCATAGAGAAAGAAATAAAAGGAAGAACACTAGTCACATTAAGCTATATGTTTGTGCACTGGGCTTTAGATAAAAGGACCCCAGTTCAAGCCAGAGAGAACGGGGCCAGAGCAGAGCTTCTTAGCTTCACTAAAACTAGCTTTATTTTGTTTTGGACTTTTACGGTTGAAACATGTAAGCTAATTTTATTGGCTGTCGTTAATTTTATACGATACGGCTTGCTGAACAAAATCAACTTTGGGCGCGCTCCGCCTGGCGCCGGCCGGCCGCCAGGGGGCGCCCCGCGACGCCCCCTCCCCGCGCGCGGGCGGGGGCTGAGGGCGGCGGGGCGGCGGGGCCGCGGGCCCGGCCCCGCACACCGGGACACCCGCACACCGGGACACCCGCACACCGGGACACCCCGCACACCGGGACACCCGCACACCGGGACACCCGCACACCGGGACACCCCGCACACCGGCGCTGCCCGCACACCGGCTCTCCCCGCACACCGGCACTGCCCGCACACCGGCTCTCCCCGCACACCGGCGCTGCCCGCACACCGGCTCTCCCCGCACACCGGCACTGCCCGCACACCGGCGCTGCCCGCACACCGGCGCTGCCCGCACACCGGCTGTCCCCGCACACCGGCTCTCCCCGCACACCGGCGCTGCCCGCACACCGGCTGTCCCCGCACACCGGCTGTCCCCGCACACCGGCGCTGCCCGCACACCGGGGCTGCCCGCCGCCGGGACACCCCGCACACCGGCGCTGCCCGCACACCGGCTCTCCCCACACACCGGCACTGTCCGCACACCGGCTCTCCCCACACACCGGCACTGTCCGCACACCGGCTCTCCCCGCACACCGGCGCTCCCCGCCGCCAGGAGACCCCGCGTCGGGACAGCGCCCCGCAACTCCCGGGGCCGGCGGGCGGGGGGACAGCAGCGGGGGCTGCCGGTTCAGGGGCCACCCGAAAGTGTCCCAGGCGGTGCGGCGCCTCCAGCGGAGCCGAGGCCTGCAAGGGAGTGAGAGCGGTAATTAAACACAGGCACGGGCACCGCAGCTCGGGGTGCCACGCGGGGCTTTTTCTTTCTGGCCAAATAAGGCGCTTAAGCCTCTGGAGATGCAATAAAACGACTCGGGTTTTTTACATTATTTAATATTTAATCGCTGGATTAAACCTGGAAAAATGGCTAGTTTTCTTTTCCTTTTTTTAATTTTCTTTCTTTTAATTTTTCCCTCCTTTCCCCCTCAAACTGGCCACTCCTCCCCCCGGTCCCTTCCTGACTTATCTGTGTGCGGGAGCCAACGATAGAGCTAACGCCGGGCTCCCCCCGCCTCCTGCCCTGCCCGCACCGGCCGCGCACCCGGCACAAGTTTTCGGCGTCCGGGACACTCGCAGATTAACCTCAACTAAACACAACATCGACAGCGACCGCAGCTTAGCTCCACACAGCTCGGGTCTCTGTCCCTCCCCGAGCGCGCCTGCTCTCAGTCTTCCTTTACTCCTTTTCTCTCTCTGCTTCCCTCGCTGAGTGATTGCAACTGAGAAATTTAGTTGGTGGCTTTTAGTTCTCGGGATTTTTCTAGTATGGGGAGGCGGGTTCGTTTTGTTTTATTTATTTATTTACTTTTTTTTTTGTGGAATTCCCGCGCAAACACGGCTACTTCTCACCCCCCGCGCCCTCGTTCCCTGGCAGGACACAGGGCACGGGTGGACCCGCGTGGCTGCAGCGTCCTGAAACGCACCTGCGTCCTCCAGGGACGGGTGGGCAGCAGTGGCCACGGGGGCGGGAGTTTGAAGCCACTTTGTTCCCCCGTGGTGGAGCCCCACCAGTTTCCGTGCTACAAGGAAAGTTTTATTTCTTGCCTCCATAAGGAAAGACCAATTGGAATCCTGGAAATCACACAGCCCATAAATATGATAGAACCTGGCAAGATGAACTCCCCGCCTAAAAGCCTAACACATGCATAGGAAAAAAAAAAAAAAAGTGAGAGAGAAAAGTAATCAAAGACAGAAAACGACCTACAAAAAATTACACTTTTCATTTAAAGTGTTCGTGGGTCTTCATTTGAAAAACGGAGTCAAGTCTCTGTGTGTATTGACCGTGAGGTAAAATGGTTGAGATATTTACAATAACAAAACTTTCCACCTACCGCTTTTGGCGCAATGAGCTCTAGGAATATTCCAGACTAGTAAAACATATTTCCAGAACGCAATTCTCCTCAGAATCGTGGTCGCTTGCTTGAGATTTGCAGTTTAGTGAACATTTTCCTCTCCTGTGAAGCGGGTGGGTTTTGGAGTTGAAAGACCCCAGCAAAGTTCATCATCCCGGGGTCGGGATTGAGTGGATTTCCCCCAGCTTTCTTCTGCGCGCCCCCCCCCCCCCCCCCCCCCGGCTTTCCTCAATCCTCCAAGCGTAACCTGCGTTATATTTTAAACAAAACAGGATTTAGAATCACAGCTCCTCTGCTGTGTGCCTGCACCAGTTAGCAGCAGCAGGAGACTAGGTACCGCAAGCGAAGAGAAAAACTAACGCTAAAACGAGCAACAAGTTAATTCGGCAAAAGTAAACTTTTCTGGCTGTCTTTTGGAAGAGTCCGGTCTGGCCAGGGTTGCCGGCTCCATGACTGCCGTGGCACCCCAACTGTAAGAGTGCTACAGAGTGCATTTTTTTCTCCCCCTTTTAAAAATAAATGCCTATTTTGTCCGAATGGACGCCTTTGGAAAACGGATGTAGAAGAGATACTGTCGTGGAAATAGTGAAAAGAAAGTGTTTACCGTATTTAGTATTCATTTACTTATAGTGGGAAATGATTAGGTATGTACTAATATAACCGTGGAGACCAACTGCCTAATTAGCATTTACAAATTAAAATGTTAAACATAAAGACATATTCCGTATACAGTCTGCTATATGTAAAACACATTCGTGCATAATACAGCAGTCAGCTGCAAACGTGAAGTTGACTGGCTTCCAGATACGTAGCGTTCTTGGCTAATGTGATCTGCTCTGGGCTTTTCAAGCTTACCCATACTGTAGTTCATAGTTCTTATGACCACGTTGATAGCTGCACTAGGGATATTACACTAACCAATCTGGAGAAAATAGGAAAATACACAGATTACTTTTAAAGGCTGACGATAATAATGACAAACACAATAGACAGGTGGATCATTTATCCATACCTTTTATTCTGAAGGCTTCACTCTGAACCTTATTTATTGTTTTGAGCATAACAAAGCATTTTGGGTTCTGTAATAAATTAGAACAATAATACAGAACTGCACATGCAAAGCAAGATTCCTTTATTTCCCAGCTGCATAATTTTGATATTACCCAACGTGTCTTGCTCAGGGTTCACCTCACACGGACTGTAATGAGAGTTGCCAAATGAATGGAACAATCTATCTGTTGACTTGAGCTCAACGTAGACACATTACATATGATGGAAACCTAATGCTCCCACCGATGTTAAAATCAGAGGGATACATAGTTTCAATCTGGACCCTTGAACATGTGGATTTTTATTAATAAGAATAATTGTGCATGTAACAACATTAAAAGGGGATTTACAAGTTGGAATCTTTAAAAAGAGACTGTGAAAACCTTAGCCCTGCTTTTATTAGACATGATATCATTCCGATTTGCGTGCTTGCCATCTCAATGGCGTTTCACATGTGATAAAAAAAAAAATCCATATGCATTACATAGATTTTCTTTTACACGCATAAGGACTGGAAGTCTTACAGTGGATATGAGGGTGAATAATTGTGATACACCAGAAAACAGTTCGTGCAGTTTGGCAGCTCTGGTTATTATTATTAGATTTTTTGACATTTGAACTTGTCTATTGTCTGAGGAGCTCAGTGCAGATTGCAGTAGGTCAACCTTAAGGCTGCTCTTTTTGGCATTGCACACAAACATGCACACGCTGTCTGTTCTCCTTGTGTGAATACAGCAGCTAGAGCTTTATCGTGCCTTTTTTTTTTTTTTTTTTAATGCACATCTATTTTTATTTATCTAATCGGCTTGGGGTTTTCACGGTCGTGTGATAAGTTTGTACGTGCCTTCATTTTACATCCATTCCTCCAGTCTATACATTTGCCTGATGTTGGATACTTTTAAGTACTCACTAGCTTTTACAGCAGTATAATTCCAGCATCATGACGTTTGATAAAAGGGACTTCAGTAGCCCTGGGATTAAATGACATATTTCCCCGCAGCTTCGCTCAACTCCATCATGACTCCTACAGTCAAAAGTTAACGTTATTCATCATCTCCTTGCATTTATTCCCTCCTCCCCTCTCTAAATTCAGCCCCACCACCCGACTTCTGAAACAATTTCTTGCTGCCCGCCAAGAGTTAGGGGGGCAGCATGTGGGGGGCGGAGGTGGAACTCGAAAGCCCGCCGCCGCCCCGAGTCCCCGGGGGACGATCCCCGCCCCGCCGGCCTTTCCGCGGGCGCGGAACGGGCCGCGGTCACGCCGAGGTCCGGCAAACGCCCTCCCGGGCGGGGCGGCAGGACCCACTTCTGAGAAGGAAAACGAGAAATAGGGATGGATTCCCCCCGGGGTGGGAGGGGGAAGAGGAGCAGGGAAACTGGATCAAACCCGATAGGAAAGTCAGTTTGCGCTGGGAAAAACTAGAGATTGCGTCTAAATAACTTTTCCCTGGAGTGATTTGCACGTCTTGCTTTCTTTTCTAGTTTGGTTGGTGTTTTAAATTGAAGCTTTTCCTTCATCTCCAGGGGTGAAGGCACTCGGGCCGAACAACAGCCCATCTCTTCTTGTAGCAGTCTGTCATTTAAATATGTATCTATATAGCTATGCATACATCCAGGCATATACGTCTGGTTTTGTTCCCCCCTTTACTTCCCTCTTCCCTCTTTAACAAGGGCCCGATAACGCGTTTAAGGCTTGTTATTTGAACTCTCTGATCAGCATGCAGAAATGTAATTGCAGCGTTTTTCATCAGGAAAGAAAGGAAAGAGAAAAGGGGGAGGAAATCCCCCCGCTCCCCTTCACACCCTTACACACACAGACACCCAGTGCTCTGTAATCGCTGAGTCACCGCACTGGGGGTCAGTGGGTAAACACGAAGCAGAGAGCAGCAGCTTATTGAAAACCTCGGCGCAAACTGCATCCGTCCTTATCTCCGGACTGTAGATCCCTCCCCTCCTTCTTCCCCTGGATTTATTGCTCCGGACTTGGGAAAGAGTGGCCCAAGTGCGGCCAGAGCCCTTTTTGTGAGACTGCATGTCCTCCTCAGGCGCAGTGGGACCCGCTTTGTTCCGGCGGGGTGGAAGGAAGAAATTTAACATTAAACTGCTATTTGGGCTGCCGGGAATGGGCGTTGTTTTGTGGGTGTGAGGGGAGAAGGAGGAAAGGGGGGAACAACGGCCAGTTCACCTAGGGATATAAAGAAAGCTTTCCCTTTCTCTGGGGTTGGGCTCTGATCTGGGCATATTTACTTCTGTTTAAACGCTATTGTTCCTGCCAGCCTTTGACACAAACAGAAGGAGCGGAGGGGGTGGTGGCGGGGGGGGGGGGGGGGGAGATGGTGGTGGGGGGGGAGGTGGTGGCTGGAACAAAGCTGCTCAAACCCCAGCAACCCCCAAAGGCAGAGGAATACTTCTTTTTTTCCCTTTAAAAACGTATGTGACAAATCTTTCTGCTTGATGTTGTTTTCTGGGTTCCCCCACTCTCCCTGTGAGCTGACCAGAGTGCCTGGCTGTGATTCACTTACCAGGGCCCGTTTAGAGAGGTACATGTCCCCCTGGTAGGTGCCAGGGAGCCTCGAAGGGACAGCTTCTCCAGCCCCTGGGTCTCAAGGAGAAGACTTGAAATTGGTTTGTGTCAAGCCCTGCAGTGGGAAACAAAGAGGCAGAAATGTTGGGAGCCCAAGGAGGGCCTGAAACACAGAGAAGCATTGAGCTTCCCAGAGATGCTTCAGCTTCTCAGCGGGGGACAGAGCAGAATCCTTTTTGGGCTGTCTCTATACATTTGAGGGCTGGACTGTACAGCCCACATTGAATCAGAGTCATTGTGTGTAAATGAATAAGTGCACATTGTTTTGAGATGCTGCTATTGTATTTGGGGTTGGAGGGAGGAGAAGGTTATATTTTGTGTCTGTGTGTGCATGTGGGTCTATGTGCTTGCAAAAGGTGAGTGCAGATTGCAATAGTTGCTGCTCTATTTTTGTTTGTCAAACAGGGCCCTTCTCTTGGGAGAGGGGCATGTGGCGGATCCCAGCCCAGGATTACATTAATCAAAGCATTATTTCCCCAGGGATGTGCAGCACAAATGATAGTAAATCCTAATAAAATTGGATCGCTGAGAAATTGAACGCTTAAAGTAATCTGCTCTGCCTGATAAAAACTTCAAATTTATAAGATATTATGCATCCCCACCCCCAAACACCTTAGGTATCATCACTATGTGTGTATTATACAACTATCTGTAGGAGAGAAACTACTTAGTTTAACAGGCCCATCACTATTGAATATATACATAGATATGTGTTTGTATGAGCATGCACACATATATTGCACATGCACACATGCGCAGAGTCATAAAAGAAGCTAAAATATTTATACACATAACAATAATGACTATGGTCAACATTGTCAGGACTTTACATGCAACACCTTTGCTGTGGCAGGTGCTGTAGAAGGCTTGGACAAGGCTGTATGTGGTTGTGTACCAGCACTATAATCTTGCCTGGGGACTAAATTCTCTCTTGCTTTTTGCTGACACTCATCATAGACCTCCATGATGGCACCTGTGATCTCAAGCCACTGAGCAGCTTTGCTTTTTAAACACGGGACCACTGGGGTGGTATAAAAATAATTAAAAAAAATTAAAAATATATGAACATGAGTATTTGAAGGTGAATTTAGAAAGGTTTTGAGGGGATGAGTTTCAGAAGGAAACTGTGTTGGGCTGGATAGGAGGAGTTGAAAGAAGGAAAGATATTCCCAGACCAGTTATTAAGTGTCAGACATGCAGCATACTGTGTCCACAGTCTTTCAGTACTGGATCTAGATCTGTGTCCACTAGATCTTTCAGTACTTTCAGCCCAGGCCACCACCTTGCTGACATGGGCCAGCAAAGATCAGGGTAGCTGCTGGTCATTCACTAGCTTCAGACCCTCAGACTCAGCTACTTCCTCTCTGCAGAAAGAAAAGTTTATTTATAATTGTTGCCATAGGACATGACAATAGGCTCAAAGAGATCCACTGTCCAGCAGAAAAACAAAAAATTGCTTTCTCTTCCTCCCCAACCCCCCCAAGATCGCTGTGCTTCCATATGTGTAGGGGGCAGAAGGCATTTCCACTCACCCAGCTGAAACTTTGAAAGACTGTGAGCCTCCCCCGGCGTTATAAATGCCGAACATTCCTCCTACCCTCGCGTCCCGGGACCCTGTTACCCCCGCGGGAGCTGGCCCTGCCTCGGGCCCCCGTTCGTGACCGGTCCTGCCGACTGCTTTGCGGCCGAAGAGTCCCGCACTCCTCTCCCTACCCTTGTCATCGCTAGGCAGACCGAAGGCTGCTTGTTCCTTTTCCCAGCGTGGGGTTTTCCTTGCCCGACCCGGCCCCGGGGGCTTGCGGAGAAGGGCGGGCGGCGGTGGTCCCGGCAGCACACCGCCCCGCAGCCTGCCCTGGCCTCCTGGTCTCTGTCCTCCCTGCCTGCAGACAGGGAAGCGCCGGAGGGGAGCTGAGCCCTCTCCCAACCCCGAAATGACGCAGCCCCTCTTCCAACATCGTCTCCCGTTTGGGCTGGCTCCATTTCAGAAGCCGTCTCCCCCCACCCCCTTCTTCCCAGCCTTCCTCCTTCCTCCTCCTCCTCGCCTCACCGTCACTCTCAAACAACCCCCCCCTCCCCACGCCTCGCGCCCGCTTCCCCCCGCCGCCCCAGACTCCTTCCTCAGGACCGTGGGATGCGGGTGAGCTCTGGTGAGAGTTGCCGGTCTCCATTTCTAAGCGGGGAGCCGCCGGGAGCGGTGAGGCAGCCGTCACGGGGGGGAAGCGGTCGGGCGGTGAGGGAGGCGATGACTGACGGAAGCAGGGGGGTCCGCACCCCCTCTCTCCCCATCTGGAGCAGCCGCTGCTCCCGGGAAGGTGCAGCCCCCGCGCCCCTCGGTGGGCAGCAATGCCCCGCGCCGCGCTCCCGCACCACTCCCCTCGCCCTCCCCCACGCGTGTGCGGACGGCATGGACACCCACTCACCTCGCCACTGACGGTGCCTTTCTTACACACCTCCACCCCCCCCCGGCCAAAAAATACCAAAAACCCAGCAAAGACTAACTATTTGCATAGCGTTCGGCACCCTCGCTCAGTATTTATCCCCACTTTTTTTTATCACCCGTCTACCTCCGCCCAGACCGGCCCTTCTGGCCCACCCCACTCCCCCGCATCCCGGGTGCAACCGGATGGCAAAAATCAAAGCTGGCTCCAATTTACCCCAGTTGTCTTCCTTTGAACACTCATAAGGTAGGTATGGTGGGATGCTGCGCTCCCACTCCCCATGTGCTCAGTGAGGTGCCTTCCTCTCCACCCTCTCCCCCCCCCCGCCCCGCTCTCTATTCCTTAATTGGCTGTATCTTGATGTGCACTTGTTTTGTTTAGCCTATTTTACCATTGCGGACGAGATAGGCAGGAAAAGGAGCGTTTGACTTGGTATGTCTCTGATTTTTTTTCCTCTCTCCCTGCCTTCTGAAGTTAATTTGCATTCGAGGTCTAATTCATGTTTCAAAATCATGCCATTTGAGGACCATATAGGAACAGGGCATTCGTTTATATTTTTGAGGAGGACCCTCTCCTGCATTTGCTCCTTTCTGTATAATTTCATTGTGTGCACAAGTGACAGGGATTTGCATCAGTTATTTTGCAATTTATTTTTTAAAAGAGTTGGATCAAATTTTCTTATTTTTAAAATTGCCGAGGGAGCAAATACTAGGCATTAGAAAAGGAGCATACATTATTAACAATGTTGCAAACTTAGTCACAGACTATATATTCATATATATGTATTAATCTGCATTCCTTGGAGTTGGATTTCTGCCTCCTGAACATCTGATTTTGATGAGAGAAATCAGTCAGAGAAAGTCAACTATACAAATACTAAATTGTGTTTGTAGCTCCTCACATCTATTTACAGGTGATTTTACTGCTGTTTGCTACTCTTGCTCCAGCACTTAGTAATTATTTCACTCCAGCATGGCATTTCATAGGATTAGATGCTGCTTTACTCATTAAAGAGTTTCCAGTTTATCCAGGCATAACTTTCATCCACATCTCTGGAAATAGCTATGTGGCCTTGTGGACTTTATGTAAAAAGTATAAAATATAAATGGACATATAAAAAGATTAGATTGTATCCATGGTTCTTTCAGTTCTCTGGATATGATGGAGAATTAATCTATGTTGAGGCCTTTATGGGTCCTTTAAGGACTTCTTTCATGTATTTTATTTGTATCTATAAAATGAATTTTCTTTTTGTATGTAGTGATTACATGAATGGCATATGTTGCATAATATGCATATGAGGCCTTTCAAGTATTTCTGTACGCACACAAATTTATTTTTCACAAATGTATGTGTATGCGTACGTATGTGTTTATACATGTGTGTGAATAAAAAACATGCTGGAAGAGAAAACTGCCCCAAATAAAAAATATTCATAAAGGAAAAGCTGTTAAAATAGTTCACTGAGAGTTGGTATCTGGTACATTGCAAAAGTCACTTTAGTTGCAGACTTTACTGTAAATACCTACATACACCCCCATCTCAGCATAAAAATCCTTCTGTATGTAATTTCCCTTCTAGAACTAACTAAATGGGACTATGAATTATGCCTAAAAAGATGCCACTGATATGAAAAACTTATAAAATAGTAATGGAATATGGAATTTTATACAGTGCCAACAACTTTAGCATGATTCTTGGCATAAGCAATTTAGTGCAGTTTTATTTGTCTGAACCAGAATGATATTACAAAGTGAATTAATAGAACATTAGTACTGAAAAAAAGAAACAGTTCTTCCTTTGAAATATGAAGTGCCACTAACTTGAGATGAAACCTGAAAGTCAGTGAATAATATATGGGAAATATTAATATTTTAAATGTATCATATTTAAAATTGCTGTGAACTTAAACAAGATTTCATATCAAGAAAAACCAAGTAATTCATTTTAGGTTCTAATCTTATATGCAACGCTTTACAAATGAAGCAACTCACTAAAGAAGAAAAGTCAGGTATGTAAGCATATCTTGTTATTTTTCACATGAAATATGGTCATTATGGAATATGAATTTAATTTTGGAAATTATAAAAACGAACACTTATTTTATTATTTCTACTACAATACAAGAAAAACATTTTTAAGTAGCTGATTAATTGGATGAAATGGACTGATATGGTCCATAATACCTGCATAGGCTTTTATACCTTGTGAAACCCCACCACAGTGGGACCTTTATAAAAAGTGTGAAGTCAAGTAATGCAATCATATTTTATATTTAGAATGGGAGTTGATATGATTCAGTTTAATGTTGTGAAAAAGTGAGCCCTCTGGCACTTGGCATTAAATTATTTTAAAATTACTCCTTCAAGTAAAGTTAGGAGAAAGACTGTACCATGGTTGAAGCCCAGCACTAAAGCTCAGGGGCAAATTGGGTGCAGCTGCTTGCCCTGCCATCCGTTTAAATGCAGACAAAGTGTTACCCTTGGTTGTCTCCTTAGTTCAAGGTCTATTGGCTCCAGTTTTTCACTGTCCTTCTCCAATGAATGGGTACAGCTCAGCATCTGGAAGCCAAACCTGTGCTGCTCAAGATGGGCCAAATCTTGCTTGTTCCATTCACTGAAGCCATGTGGAGTTTTGTTTGATTGGAATGAGCAGGATCTAGCTCTCATTCACTCCCTGAAGTATTTCCATTAGACCTTAATGTCAATGGAGAGATTATTGTTGCATCTATTTGATGTGAATGGAGTTAGATGTGAGTGCCACAGTGATCTTGCCCTTCCACCTCAGCTGTCTAAGGGTTACATCCTACACACTTTGACTAGTGAATCAGGCCAGCAATAATTGTGGTCACTACATTCTGAGAAGTAGGACACACATTACTGGGCATTTTGAACAATCAAGAAACCCCCATACCTGCGTCTGCATCGGTGGGAAGTGCTGGATGTGTGCTGAGCGAAAAGGGCAGTTGTGTGCTTGGGGAAAGATGTAAGGCTGCTGTGAGGACTGTCAGTACTTGTGAGGTGTCTTGTTGAAGGACAGCAAAAGCCTGTTTAGTCTGTAGACTGGTTCCCACATAGCCAGTTGCTCCCACTATGAGCTAGTTGCAGGTGCCACAGAAGAAGACAGGGTGGTGATGGTGGGGAGGGGACACAGTTGTCACTTGTTACACAAGCTGATCTTTTTCTGTCTGGTTTTGGCCAAAGCTCTGGGACATTTGCTATGGTTCTCTCAATTATCTCTCATTAATTTCAGTAGCTTGTGTTTTCATTACAAATGCCCAGTGTCCTTTGGAAACTTACTATGGGTATTTGAAATTCAGAATAACTGTGGTGAGGAAAAAAACCATGCTTTTCCTTTTTAAGCAGCTTTGCCATTTAATCACAGTTTGTTTAAATATGCATTTCTCTGCTGTGAAATAACCTTTCTTTCCACATTTACGTGCACAATCCTAACTCATAGCTGAAAAAAACATTTTAAAACACTGTGTCATGCTTATAGGATAATTATTAATCTTGTCAGAATAAAAAGCGTACTAAAAGTATTCCATACAAAGGTTTGTGCCTCAACATTTTTGAGAGTTTTTTTTTAAAGTAATCAGAGATGTCATAACAGGGGGAGAAACCATACAATATATAGCATGTAGTACAAGACTCCTAGAGGACTATTTAGAAATACACAAAGCTTATTTTTTCTCCTTTTGGTTAGCAGACTACTTAGATGAAAAGGTATATTTTTATTTTTATTCCTGCTTGTGTCTTACAGTTCTTTGAAGGTGATGGGAGACTATAAGTTCCAGATTTTAGTTGTTCTATAGGATATAAAACTAAGGAAGAAAAATATTCATGATACATATCTGGAGGGAGAAATACACAATAATCATGCAATCTGATAACAGAAAGAGTAATTATTTGACAATAACCCAATGTTAAATACAAGCAGAGTAATATTGTTCCAGAGAGAAATACAGCAAACAAAATGATACTACAAAAAGACACTTATGAAACTTCCTCTATGTTTAGAAATTTCCAGTTGGATTTTCCTTTTTAATCATTTGTGACCACTGAGATATGGTTAGTGAACAAGCCAGTCAAAACTCTTCTGTCTTGATTTTCCTATCCCGTATCTACAAATCCAAAAATGCAACTTGTAGTAAATGCACTTGATGTTAGGAGGGTGATTTTGCTGCTTGTTTGCTTGGATTTTTCTTGACACTTGATTTTGCATACCCTGTCTCATGCTGAAATTTCTGGTGCATGTGAGCAATGTTTGTAGGGTCATCTATTTATTTTGTGCAAGAAAGACAATTTTTTAATACTAGAGATTCCAACAGGCACAGAAAAGGGATACTGTAGGAAAGCGATTATTTTTCAAGGGCATTTGCTCCTTCATTTGACTTCAGTGACAATTGTGAAACTCAGTATTAAAAAAAAGTGCCAATTTTTCTTTTGAAAGTCAAGTGTGTCATGGAATTTGACTTGTGTATCTCTGGCTATAATAAATAGTAAAATTCTATAGCTAGAAATGTCTGTTTTTATATTTGTGTGGGTTTATACGTATATAAAATGCAAATGTACCTTTCCTCATGTGATAACTGTTTGCCTTGCCTTTTTCTTCTAAGAGGTAGAAAAAAATTATTAAATCACTACTGTCCTGAAAAAAACCCAGACAGAAACAATAGAAATTATTGTTCACTATTCAGTTAAGAAAATAAGAAATCTCTAATCTGCAGAGGGTGAATTATGATTTTTTACACTGCTGATTTGCCTCTCTGAAATTAGGATCCTTGTGCTGAACTCTTCCAGCTATTTTTATTACTATTAAGAAAGAATAAGATGCAGATTTCAAACACCTGTTAGAGAGACAGCTTTTTGCACTGTGACACTCTGAAACCTAAGGAAAATATAGCAAACTTTTCAGGGAGCCACCAATAGCTGGGGAGAGGAGAGTATCTGCACATGCTTCTTTGCCAGTGAATGCTGTAGCAGATTGTGTGCACCCGAGGCTACGGGTTTTCTTTTCAGAAGAGGACTAGCAGAAGAACCAAAATCCATGACTAGTTATTGAACAAATTCCCCTCAGTGCAGCACTGTCAAATTTTAGGATCAGTTTTGGCTGGATGGTATTCAGCTGTAACTGGAAAAGGAACCCAATCCAAAGATCTGTGCACCCCCTGTGCCCACACTTGGGGAATAATTCCTTTGTCTGCAAGTGATGGTTGAAGCTGGGACCCTCCTCCCAGCAATGCCCAGGACTAGCCGGCCCCACAGCCCCCAGCAGGAGCTGTGGTCTCTGGGATGGGAGGGGTGCACCGCTTTGTTGTGTGGAGCCTGTAGGGACAGGGCTTCCCTCCGCATCCCAACGCCAACTTTGTGCTTTGGTTTCATCTCCAATCTCTCTATTAGGGTTTTAAAAATTTTAAATCCTGGCGTCAATTGGAAACTATCGGACTGTACTCAGTGCTGTCTTGATAGGTTTGAAGTTCCTGGGAAACCTCAATACTGGTATCTTCTAAACACAGTAAGCAAAGCACACTGGAATATTAATAGATAAAACATTTTAAAGGGACAACATCTCTTTGTAATTTTGTCTGTTAAAACATATCGGCTAAGGGCAGCCTGGTGGAGTTGCACTAAAGCCACAAGTGCTCTTCACAATTTAAAGCTTCTGCATTTTAATTATTTCTTTTTTTTTTCTGCCACTGTAAAAGATTGCTGGAGACAATAGGGCTGCGACAGTTAGCAACAGGTTATCCTCACTGTGCAGGGAGCACCATAAAAAACACAAAATGGACACACAGAATAAAATACAATGCCCACTGCCCTGCTTCCCAGTTTCTTTACTTTCTAGTGTTAGAGTAGTTACACTACATCAGTGGTGGGTAAAAAGGAAAAAACTCAACCAAACAGATGGAAATCCTATCTCTAAACCGACAGTCTCTGCAAATTTGCTTGAATAACTACCTTAAAATAATAGTTACAATAAAACATTCTACACTGTTCTGGACTTTATTTATTTAAACACGAATTTATGGAGCCGGTCACACACTAAAAATTGGAGAGTTTAGTACTGTAGTTGCTTTGGTGTATTTTTCACCATTGTAATGGGCTACAGGGAAACAAAGGAGGATATGAATACAGGGCAGTTGGTATTTAGATTTGGGTGGCACTTTCATGTGTTGAAAATGTCTTTTTAAAAAAATCTATTTTCTTTCTATCATGTTATTAAACTGTAGAATACATTGAGATAGAAAAGCTGGAATTATTTAATAACCAAAATTAGGAGTGTTTTTTGTAATATATTTCTTATATTTCTCACTGCCAACCTCTTGACTGATAAGGAATTCTAAGGTCCGGGCTAAACTCACCCATGGGGTAGAATGGGTTGTTAGAGAGTGAGATGATAGATGGATCTATTCCTCACCTTCCAAACACAGTTGCTTTATAAAGCAGTAGAAAACAAACCTTTTCATAGAGCATCAAAAAGCAAGCTCAAGAACAACACTACTGTCACATCTTTTGCGGTATTTTTTTCAGGCATCTGCCCCTGATTTTAATCCAAAGGAGCTGCTTTTGGAACTGGCGTGTCCGGCTTTGGTGTTTGCCTGCTGAGGAAGAGGTATGCCCTTTGTCCCTCACCTGCAGATGGCTTGGATGCTTTTACTTTACCGAGGCAAGCACTTCCCAGTGGGCTGCATTCAGAAAGTGCTTTTCATAGCATTAGTACAGAACCAAGTTATAAAAGAATATTAATCTAATACATTCCAAAATTCAAATATGTGTGATTAATAAGCATTATTATCTATAAATAAGGCTCTAATGATACTTTGGCAGTGTTGTAAACACAAGAATCAGAAGCAATTATTGTCATTATTGTTCTGCAAGTACCTTCCATGAATACCAAATGGATATTACTGTCCAGCTCCTTGGCACATAGAAATCCTGTAAAGAACAGTTGTCAGTCAGTGAGGCCTGGCCGGCTGCTGTTAACTCCGTTTGTGTAAAATGTAGTGTACCTAAAGACAAAGCCGGCGAGTTATTGAAAGCAAGATGACTGATTAAAAAAAAATTGTTCTTTGTCCTTTGCAACACCCAAAATTATGTTAAATAAAGCCTATGATAAAGTTTTCCCATCCTATGAGATGAATTGTTTGTGTGATGGCTGTGATTAAAAATGGAAGTGGGCTCTCTGACAAAAACACTGCCCTTCTTTGTGTGAAACACACAAAGGTGAGGATGTTCCAGCTGAAAGGTGGTGTGTAAATAATGGAAATATCCCCCCACCCCCTATCTGTAAGAGGTAACTCAGGACTAGTTTTCGGGGACACAGGATGAAAGGGGTCTTAATCCTCATCACATTTACCTCTCCCCAGTTTGTTCAGGTCCCATAGACTGGAGTCACACTGGTGGCAGGGTCCCACTCTCTGTGACTCCCCCACTCGCCCTCCTTTGGCAGTCTCACCTCCTTCACCAAACCTTGCTGCTTTAGACGGCGCCAGCCAACAGCAGCATTTTGTGGTGGGTGTTATGTTGTTCTTCGGATGCCAGGGTGTCATTGCGAGCAGGAACAGTGTGGGTCTGACTCTCCGAATATGCAGAAAGAAAAAGTAAAAAAAACTCAACTAAACCCCAAACAGTAAGCTTTACTTTCCAAATGTGTTCAATTCTTCTTTTCTCTCCTTGATATTTGGGGCGTGCAGCACCCTATACCATGTGGTTTAACATTTTGTTCTCTATTTGTAGGTCAACATTTCCATGATTAAACTTCATCCTTTATTCAGCCTGTTCTGGCTAGGCTTTGCAGCACATGTGATATAAGCTGTTTTCACAGCTAGTAGGCCAAATCTTACTCTGAATAAGGGAGCCAAACATATGTGACTGAGTCAGACACTTAAATCAACTCCTTGGTAAATGGGAGATAACTCCAGGTGCAGTGATGAACACTGAGAACCAAAAAAGTAGGAAGGGTGGCCAGCGTTCCTCTGTGTAGGAAAGGAGACATCCTATGCACACAGGCAGTGAAATCATAGCCCTACACAAATTTTGCTCTCCTGCATTTGTCTGAGGACACAGAGCCCTTTTCACTGAAATAACTGGGAATTTTTCCATTCAGGGTCAGGCCAGCCTGGGGTAGGCTCAGCTGCAGCTGGGCATGGAACAGGCTGTGCAGGAGGGGGACAAGGCAGCAGGGAGTGAGCCCACCTTACATTCACAGCACACACAAGAAGGTTGCTGGGGGAATATGGAGCACTTCACCTAAAGAATTATGTTTCTTTCACTTGCCCTCCCATCATCTCCCTTACTGATCTCATTTACAGACCAAGGCTGGTGGCTCTTCTTTCGCTTGGTGGCAGGTATCGTTTGCTCTAAGTCCATGAAGTTGGACTGGGCAACCTAGCCACTTAAATCAGTGGAACAATTCCCAGAAGCACTGTCCATCCAGAGTGAGTGTGACTCACCAGTAACCCTTGGTGCAGGGGATTTTTGTTAAAGGACTCTGGTTGCATGGCCAGCAGCCCTCCTGTCCTTCTTTGCCATTGCCTGGTAATTCTGTTAAGTTCTGAGAAGCCTATAAGGCTCATCAGACACAAACAGAAGTGCCAGAGGAGGAAGGGATGTCATAAATTATTCAGACCTGCTGTGTGGTTGCTGTGTGATGTTCCTACCTTCACCAGAGCTGGACTGGTTGGGGCTGCCACACAGCAAGTACCAGAGTGAACAGCAAGAGAGCTCCTGCAGCAGATCCAGAGAGGACCTATTTTCCTCAAATGCACATGGCTGTACCCATAATATTATAGAGAAAGGACTGTGCTTCATGTATAATTCGGTGATGAACTGCAGCATCACAGAGAGCACTTGACAATGAACCATTTCTGTCAGGAACAAGAACTTCCAGAGCTACACTGGGGCTGCCTCCCTCAGCTGAAGGAAATACAGGCAGCATAGCAGGACTTTCAGTGACTTTTGCTTTTTAATTTTTTTTAATGGTACCCATTCTGTAGGTCTTGTTCATTTGCTTAGTTTTTTTTTTTTTTTTTAATGCTTTTTGTTCATTTAGGAAGAAAAACATATTCTGCCCAAAATTAAATCTGCTTTCTAAATCTTCAGTGAAAAAGGTCAAATGATGACTACTGTAGCTTTTTGAGTACTGTGTTATTCATAGTTTAGAAAGTCCTATCCTGATAAGATAAACAGTAGACAACACATATAAGATGAAGTTTATGCACTAGTCTGAGGTTTTGAGGACCTGCTTCATGGCTGGGCAAATCCCTGGGCATGCATGTGAACATCTGATCCACTTCCCTGCCATTACATTGGGAAGAAAAGTGTGCTGGCCACGAGATGTTACCAAGGACTTAATAGAAGGCAGGTACCTTCAGTGCTTGTCATGCAGTTTGGGGATGACGTATAAAATAAGGCACGGAAATAGATGGTTTGGTCTGGTGTGCCTTGGGGACATGGAATGGTGCAAGGCAGGGGTAGGATGAACTACACACTCCTGGAAAGAAGAGGGAGAGTACCATAATTCTGCCCTCGCTGGAGCGAAAGTTAATCAAGAATATGCTGGAATAAATCCCTATGTGCATCAAAGATACATCGGTATCAAATTAATGGAAAGGAGAAGGGAATTTAGGACAACTAAGATCTGCTGATAGGGTCAGGTGACCTCCCTGTCCTTAGGTCTACATTTTGGAAACACAAATTGTACTTTGGTTTCACTTTTAAATGTGTAAGCCAAACTGTGATGCTTGCAGAGACCAAGAAGTTTGGAAGAAGCTGGGAAAGTCCTGTAATCAGGGAGCAAAAGGATTGCAGCAGGGTATGGTGAAATTAAGCAAAAGAAAATTAGAATTTTTCTCTCTGGTTATTTAGACAAAAGAAGGTGAATCTCCATTTTATTATGCTTAAATAACAGCCCCCCTCTTCCATGGTATAAAAGATCCCAAGATCATGCAGGAATGAATTAAGACTGTGGTAACAGACACGATTTCAAGTTAATGAAGAGACAGTATGTTTTGTGTTATCATTTCTCTTGTTTTTGGGGTTGATATTACTGTAAGTAAATACATTTGTCTTTTGTTTCATTTCCCCCCTGTGACCTATTTCATTTAATTAGAAGGAAATGCATAATAGGAAATGAGTATCATCACACTGGGCTCCATCCAAAGCCCATGAAATCATCAGGAGCCTTTCCTGGGCTTTTCACTACCACTGCGTCCAGCCCAGCAGAAAAGAGGGGCTATTTCCACCTTGTCTGGAAGAATGTGTGCTGTCAGTGTAAAAATATTACAGTTCTTATTTTAAGGTCTGGCCCCAATACTAGGGTAGGATTTTGCTACTGCATGTGCCTCTCTGTGCCACATGTTTCACATCTGTGGCAGCACATTAAAGGATAAAGGTTCCTAAAACTTTAACTCTGAATATACATATAAAAAGAAGATACAAATTAAGCAAAAGATAAAGGATATTGATGGAAGTACAGGAGATGCTCTTTAACATGCATATTATTGACTCAATAGATTGTTACGGCTTCAGAGCTATTAGGGTCTGCTGTGTCAATGTGTACTTAGGGACTGTTTAATATGCAGATGGTTGACATGACAGACTGGAACCATTACAGTCTATCATGTCAGGGGGGATACATGAATACGCACTTTGCCAACACTGTAAAAAGTCCCTTTAAAATGCAGTAGCTGTTTTTTTATAATAATTTAATAGGTTTGGTTCTTTGGATGCCCAGAGAGTTGAGAGTTTGGATTTATCAGCAATAAAATTTATTTCCAAATTAAGTCATTTTCCATGTGGAATGTGCAGTCTGGAGGACAGGGTGTAATCTCAGATACACAGCTCCTATCAAATCTTGTAAAATTAGCTACTGCACTTGTGCATGTGTAGAAGAGATCAGAATCTATCTGTCGGCATGTGTCTTTTTGAAGAATATAGTTTTGTCTTTTTGAGGGGTAAGGGAGAATGTCGTCTCATTTTTCATTCAAATAATCTTCAGTAGCAATTAAATAGCTTATGCTACCTAAGAGATCAGTTATTACAAGATAAGCAGCATGACAGTTTGGAAAACTGAGTAAGTCTTTGATTATTTACTAAGTTTTGATATCTGCTATTTGCCTCAAAATGCTAAAAAGTGAAGTATAAGATACAAACATGAAAGGCTCATTTGATCATCATAAGGAAAGGAATCAGTAGTTTTGCTTTTCTTTTCCTCAACAACTTATTTTTTATTAAAATAGCAAAGCCAAGTGTTGTGTTTAATAAGATATATTTTTTCATTTGAATATCAAATGGAAAAATACAATTAAAATATTTCTGCTTTTACATTAATCGTAGGCTATATTTCAGCAATGCATATATCTAAGAAGCTCAGCATACACATTTGGTATATATTAGATGCTTCTAACAGATGCCCAGACCTCTTCCCCTGATTTTTAATGTTCTTTTTTATGGCAGTGGTCCAGGGACATTTTAATTTGCAAGCCTGTAAACTTGGAAATAATACTTGTAGTGGGGCATTATGTCTAGTCCATTCCCTCTAAGTTTATTGTCCTGTGTCACCTAGCTCTGATTTTAGCTGATTTGCTGAACTGAGTTGCATAGTGCAATTCCAGCACAAAATTCACTGAGCAAAAGCACTCTGCCTTGCAAATAATAGTAATTGTGCAATATTATAAAGGTATTTCCTCTTATCTGTGGGAGAGCTGGGGGACAAATTCTACAAAAATTTGCATTTTTAGGCAAATGTGATGGCTGGTTTCTGACAGCTCCTTTTACTGCCTGGTGCTGCCAGGGATACCGTGGGGGCAGTCTGGATGTGGTGGTGATGGGTAGGGCAAGTGCCAGGAGGTAGAAGGTACAGAGAGCACATTTCCCATAACCTGTTACACAAGTGTCCTGGGTCTTCTGTGAGATTTCTGCAGTGACACAGGAAAGCCAGGAAAAGCTTAGGGAAAAAAAGAGGTCTGGAAAAGCCCAGGAGGTGGCTTCTTCTTACAGATGAATTCACCCTGTGCTCACAGAGAGGTGCCTAATGGGAAATAGTTACCTCTGCAACAAGGGAGGACCAAGAAGCAGAAGCCTGAGCTGCAGGACAATGTATTGTAACTTCAAACTGCATCAGTACCTGTGGGAAAGCTGAGCTTTATTCCCTCCCCACCTCTGGGATGGTGGGCACATCCTGTGGCACTGGGTTGTGGCCATGACTGTGGGAGTGGCAGGTCCCACACCTCTTTTGCCTCCACCTCTGGCCTCAACGTGGCTCTCCGGGCCGCTCTGCCCTTCTCCTTCCCCAGTGCAGCCCTGGAAGTTCCATATCCCTCTCTGAGTTACCCATGTGCAGGGAAACATCATCAGCTGAAAGAGGAATGTATGAAGGTATGATGTGAAACACTGTGTTACCTGGTGCTAATCAATAAAGCAAAAATGTAGCTTTTTGACAGCACTTGTAATTTTGACTATTGCGATGGTGTGCTATTTCTTTGAATGCAGTATGCTTCTGTGCCCCATTAAAGCATGGCTGGCATCGCTTTCAACTATTCACAAATGCTGAGATGTTGAAAAATGTAACATTTACAAAAGATACATCTGGTGTATATTTACAAGGCTCAGGAATCATTTAAATAGTGCCTGTGCCATCACCATATTAGGAGAAAAGTTAGTCCCAGCCGCATATGTGAAATCAGTAGTCAAATGTGTGCTGGTTGAAAGTCCATTGCTATGATATGGTATTTTGGGGTATTAAACATGAAAATACCAACCTGGCTATAATGCTCAAATTAGATGAATATAGACCTGCATAACATGTGTGATAGCTACCTATAGGCACCTGTTTAAACATGTGGTCAGAAGAGGGTTATGGGTTTTGAGGGATAAATGGTTAGTTTTTTTTTTTTTTTGAGTAAAGCACAATCTTTGGCTTCTCATTGTGAGGTGTCATCATACCTTTTATCCTGTTCTTCAGTGAGAATTGTAAGACCTACCTTGGAATTGAGGAAAAGGCTATTGAACAGCTTCCTTTATATCACATAACATGTCAAGGACAAAAAGGTGTTTGTCTCCTGCCAGTGCAATACCACTTAAGTTACATTTGTAAACTATTTTTTAATTAATGCGATGGGTCATGTTTTCACCACACTAAGGCAGGAAATTCAAGGTAAACCAGATACTCCCTTTCTCAGTCACACAAACATGAATTAAGCATGTAGCATCAGACTTAATTTCAATTTCTAGGTCTGTAATTGAATCTAGCTCAATGTGAACTCTTTTTTCTGCACCATCACATTGATATCTGGATGTTAGTGACATTATTTAAAGCAACAAATCAACCTATAGGACTGTGTTCAACTATATGTCGTTTGACAGTAAATGGAATAAAAAAATGTTACTTTTCTCTAGGGGCAGATTTGTTAAAGGGTTTTCATCTTTTGTCAAGATATTTAATCTTGGAATGTTAAAAAAAATCAGTTTGTGCAAGTGCAAATTTCTGCATGCACAGTTTGCCTGATTGCTAATTTGGCTGAACACACTTAGCTTTAAGACACACAAATGAAAGAGGAAAGATAATTTTTGTATATATCCTTCTGAGTCAAGTATGAGTCACTGGACCCTAAGGGAAGCAGGTATAGACTTTTGGGGCTGAAGGCTGTCACTCTAGGTCACCCTGTACATCAGTCTCTGTTCATGCATGCCAATGAGAACAAACCCTAACAATGAGCTGTTGAGTGATGCCAGGAAAAATGAATGTTTCTGAAAGCTTCAGGGTTTTGGAGAAAGCAGCTGAAGCCAACTCTGTGGCACTCACCACTGCTGCCTAACTGAAGGAGGGCAAGATTTTGGCAAAAACCTCCCATGTAATGGACATATTTGAACACACCTTTGTTTTTCAACAGGCTGAGTAAAGCTGGTATGGGACTATAGAATTAAGCCAAAATGCCCAACCATGTTATTTCCTCAGAGGGGTTCACTAAAGAGCAACTTCAACTAAATTATTAGCGTTACTAGTAATTATTATTATTAATTCCTTTTGATAAATCTGTCCCTCCATCACAGTAGCAATCACATGCTGGGATGTCTACTGCTTAGGACATCATACTCCTTTGGAAGTGGATGCTTGTTTAATTGATAGATTGCAAAGAAGGTCTGACCTATTGCCTTTTCATGTTTTGCTTTGTTTCAATTGCCTGGACTCTTATAGCTCCTTAGTAGCTTTTCTGATCCATCATGTCAGGCTGGCAGCTGTGCTTCTGCACTGTGCCTGCCTGCCCACCGTGAGCCAGATTTCACTCTCAGATGCATGGCATACCCTCCTGCCTCACTGTTCTTTCACTGGAGAGCTGATTTTGCCTTCACCTCTATTAAATGCCTCAGTTTTAATGGGAATAACTGCTTACTCTCATGGGTCCTCAAACCTGGGCTCTAGGTGTGCAAAGGCAGAGGAGGAGGGCACATTCCCAGATGTCCCTAGGTGTGTGCTACGCATGCAGGATCAGGCTTATGCCTGACATCTGCACACTGAGCCCTCTACCCCTCCCAGTGAATGGTCCCACTCAGAACCATGGGAATTTTAATTTGGAGATGTTTTTCCCAGGCTGTGTAACTTTTGCCCTCATTGTGGACTCCTCACTTCTCTTGAGCCTAATCTCCCTGGTCATGTAGGCCCACAAAGGATGGCACCTCAAAAGAATAAACTCCATTTTACATCAGTCCACCTGAAAAATTGTCCTCAGAGGTTTCCATCCCCTCCCCAACATCAGGAAAAAATGGTTGAAATTTTATATGCAGATTTTAAAGAAGGAACAGGTTTTTTTTCTAACTACCAAGCTGTATAATAGGTGTTTTTGAGAGGTTGTTAACTTCAGCAGTATAGTCAGAAACAGTGTTACACCCCACACTGCATCCATAGTTAAGCAATTAACTTACTGATGGGCTTTTACATTTATTTACCTTGATGGAAAGATATGTTTACTGAACCTGAGTACAAATCAACATGAGGAGGTTCAAGTTCAGAGTAAATTTGACTAATGATGTTGTGTTTTCATCCTTAAAAGAAAGAAAAAACCTCTCTGCTTTTGATGCTATTTTATCTTCATTGGAAGGGATCTGAAATGATCCCAACTGTCATGTGAGAGCTCAGTTAGGCTTAGATCCTCTTTGATTGCAGCTGAACATCTCTCTCTGTTGGCTCATACCTTTCCTTATATGAATACAGCATACAGCAGTTCAGGTTGTTTACTGAACAGCACTTTAACTTTTCCTCTGTGAATGCCCTCATGATTATATCTTTAAGAAAATTTCAGCTGTGGCCACCTTTGCCTGAGGTGATGTTAATGTGGCCTCATTGCTGATGTGAAGGAAGAATTTCCTTTTGCTTTCACAGTAACTTCTGAAATATAAATAAGAAATATTTCTTCCATGAAACTTAATTATCTCTCTTTTTTTTCAGGCCTATTCTTTTCTCCTGTCTTGGTATGTGGATTTCTTTCTCTCGAAGTAATTCCTTAGCATACCCTTGAATGGCATCTACCACACGTGAGCATCCTCCACAGTCTCAAAGATACTTTTGTTGTTTTACTTCTTTGAACATTTGTTTTTTTGAGATGACATTGACAGACATGAGGCCTAAGTCTGGAGATGTTCTGTGGGTAGAACTCACATTTATTTCAGTATGTCAAGCAGTTTTAGGATCTGATCCATATTGAAGACTAGCATGGTGTAATGAGGCCTGGGCATATACAACAATATGCATTCTAACACAGCTCACTCAAAACAAATATGTTCCCTTCTCTTTGGCTGGTATAAACAAACAATCTCCATTGTGTTCTGCATGGCTCTGCTGCGCCGCCTTGCACATGGCAAGAGCTTGGCTTCCCTGTTCACAAAAACAGCATCTCCGTTCTGCGACACAGCCCGTGCCCAGACAGACCTGCAGCTCAGGACACTGGTCCTAAACACTGACAGCTGGTCTGGTGTTAAATCCTAAGTGAGGGAATGAGGGAATTTTTCTTGCAAAGATATACGTACACAGGGTCTTGTTTCTGAGTCCCATGCACTTCAGTCAGACAATACTGATTCTGGATTCCACAGCTGGGAAGAGGAGAATCAATGTAATAGTTGTTGCAAGATCTCCTCACACTGACCCACAAAATCTTCTCCTCTTGCAATAAAAATTGTCAGCTTTGTGAAAAATTCGTGATGACTCGAGGTGGAAACATTAGCAGGGGTGAGCTCAAAACTCGTGTGAGACCCATTGTCTGTGTGAAGCAGAGTGAGTTTGAACCCAGGTGTTCCTTTTGTGATTGAGCTCAGACTTTTATTCCATTTTACAAAGCCATTACCCTCTCCTGTAACTTGTGCTGGAAGCAGAGTGAGCTGTTTTGGCACTGAAATGATTTCATTGTTAGGCTAAGTGTTACACAGATGGCATTCTTAAATGTAAAATTCTTTTTATGATTCTTTCTATTTCATATTTATTTCATTAGATCATTATTTATGTTAAAGAGTCACTATTAATCTGAAACGTGCTCAGCTTGAAAGAAAATGTTGAGAGGAGTTTCAGGTATCTGATCCTCAAGCCTTTAGTTTTTTTGTTTTGCATTTTCCTACTTAAAATGTTTTTTTCTGTCTCTAGGTGCTATGTGACAGATCCACACAAACAACAGAGGGGAAAGAGCCTCACTTAACTGATTAGAGGAGAGAAGCAGTGAAAGGGAATATTCACAAAGCACTGCCAAATTCACAGAGCAAAGGAAAAGATAAAAAATAGAATAATTTCACCAGCCTTTTATTTTTTTCTCTATAGAGTAACGTAAGGTATTTCTTATACGAGCATCAGGGAAACAATTTTCAGACAAAAATGTGATTTCTTAATTAAGGATCTCTAATTCAAAATATATTTATTTAATAAAGAGTAATTATGATAGAAGCAACTACTCATTCATATCAATAATTCATTCAGAAGTAAACAATATCAACATATTAGCATTTATTTTTCCATTTAATACACTGTGATTTAAAATAAATCCAAATCATCACAATCATTCTGCTCCATATGCTGGGAAAGAAAAAGTCACCTTAAACCAGATGCATATTTTGAAAAAAAAAGGAAAAAGAGAAAAAGAGGAAGACAAGTTGTTCTAAAGAAACAGCATATGGGAGAAAATCTTAAGCCTCGGTAAAGATGCTCTGCTTTGTAGATGGCAATTTAGTTTTGAACTGAAAGAGGGTATGTTTAGAATTAGATATTAGGAAGAAATCCTTCACTAAGAAGCTGGTGAGGCACTGGAACAGGTTGTCCAGAGAAGCTGTGGATACCTCATCCCTGGAATTGGTTAAGTCCAAGTTAGATGGGACTTTGAGCAACCTGGTCTAGTGGAAGTTGTCCCTGCACATGGCAAAGCGGTTGGACTAGATGGTTTTTGAAGTCTCTTCCAGCCCAAACAATTCTGTGATTCTATACTTCTGTGATAACTATGATTCTATGATAGCAAGGCTGAGTTATGCCAAACAAGATTCTGGTCAATAATTTTCAAGAATTAGGAATCAAATACTGATTTCTTTATTTTAGAAAATTAAAAAAAAAAAAAAAAGAAATTTCTCTCAGTTTTAATCAGGAAAAGGTAGTAAATGTGATCAGGAAAATTCTGTTTTGAAGATGTCTATGTATGGAAACAATACACTGTTTACAAGTTCCAGGTTGGCTCTGCACGTGTACCTGCTTGTGTGCTTGGAGCTGCATTTATTTTTCCTGTTGCTAATTACGTAGCTAATCCCTCTCCTAACTTGTATCCTTAACTACCCACATCATTTTGTCAGCTGACAGCTCTTTTTCACTCCCTAACACATCAGCACTCCTGAAGCAAGTTCTGTTAAAAACTTTTATTTCTGTCACCTCTCTGAGGTCCAGAGAGTGGTGTTTGGAGCCTGTGGATCAGGATTGTACTTTGAATTTTTTTTACTTTTGGCATACTGAAAAAGAAATGAAGGGCTCAAGCCCTGGTCAACCTGTGCTTTTCTGCTAGAGCATCTTGAGAAGACGTTGTAGGTCTCCTCTTACTGCTTTTTCTGTTTTTGCTATCAGCAGGTGAGGCCAGAGGCTGTAGTGGAGAGTGGGGCATCGCCACTCTGCCTGCTCTGCTCCCATGTCCAGGGCAGCACTGACAGCATCCTCTTCGGGCCTTGGTGCAGCCATAGGGCCCTCTTGTCCTTGGATGAGCTCAGCAAAGCCCTTTCTCTCTCCCAGACAGAAAGCCCTGTATTCTGTCTGGGAAAATAAGACTGTGCAGCCCTTCTTCCCCAGAATTCCAGCAGTGATGCTCTCAGGGCACCTCTCAAAGCAGTGGCTGCAGTGGCAATACAGTGAGCATAGTGCAGGTTAGCCCTGCAAAAAGGTGTTTTCTTAGCCCCTCAGGTGAATTTTGTCACCTGTGTCATTATCCTGTTACTCTTCCAAGATTGCTGTTGCTGTCCCAACAAAGACTTCCCAGAGCAGGCAAGTTTAAAAGGTATCTGACTTTTGTTCTTTTCCGATCTCTGTCATGCTTTATGGTGTTAATATTCCTCCAACAATTTTTAAGGAGAAAAGCTAATCATGTTTGATTTTCCATACCCTAACAGAGAGGAGCCATGTATTTTCCACAAGCTATTGCATTATTCCTCTCTCCGGTGTGGCTCTGATTTAGTGCTGGATGAAACTCAAAAGGAGGATTAGTGTAGAGAGACTCCCATATGCTTGGATGCATTTCTGAACTGCGTACTATCCTCACTGCTTTTGATGAAAAAGCTGGGCTATAAACCTGATGAGAGCAGGCTTCCATGCAAGATGTTTAGTATTTCCTGCTTCCATTTGGGCCATGAATACAGCACATCCAGCCACTTTTGGCCCTGTAGGTCTTGGTCACAGGCCTGCCTGAAATTTAGAAAATCACAGTGGTGGAAAATGAATGGGGGAGTGAAAGGAAGTTGATTTTTCTCCACTTTAATAAAGACAGATTAGGGTTTTGTTCCAGCTTTGGCAAAAGCTTTTCTGGGGGATGGGCACAGGTAGAAAGTTTTTATATTAATGGAATTGGTTCATCTGTCTATTAGATGGCTGCACTGGAATGCAAGTCCTTTTTTATGGTCCTGAGTAAAAGAACTTGTGCTGCTTTTTAAGGGCTGCCTTCTGGGAAAATTAGAGCTGGATGTAAAACTCTGACTATATGAAGTAAGCAAGATTAAGAGAAATAGTGAAAAAGGGAGAGAGGGAGTCTTCCCAAAGATAAGCTGCTACAGTGAGTCGTGCTACTGCTCGGTGTCACACATGGGGGCTTCACTATAACTAATATCTGATAATTTTTCTAGCTGGTAATTAAACTGTAAGTAGTGAAACACAAAGCAGCACTGAAATTTACCCTAAAACTGCTGGTGTACTGCCATTTGGGGCTATCTTCTTTACTATTTTCTGTATTAGAAAGAATTTCTCAATAGTTATCAGTCGATCATTTCTGCTGATTCTCCTCTCCATTACAAAGGATTCTGAGTTTGTGAATGAAAGGCTATGTTTTCTCAACCAAATCCTTTGCTCCTCGGTCTATTAGTAAACTAATGTTAACTTAACAAGATTTGACTGAAACCTCAGGGTCTGCCAGCTGGATGCTTGAGGAGTCCAAGCTGGCTAGGTAAAGAAACACCTTTTTCACATGACCCAGCTCGGCTCCCAAGTTGCCCCACAAGTTTCTATCAGTACAAAGGCTGACATTGTGTACAAGGAGCAACTCAGATTACGGTCCCTTCCAGCTGCATTGCCCCTGACCCCAGCCCTGCCCTGGGCTGCCCACGCTCTGCCCTCCCTACACGCACGGAGGCTTCAGCTGCAGCCACTGCCTGACAGCGTTGGGTCTGGTCTTGAGGGTGGCCTTGGATGTGTTTTAAAAGGAAGTGCAGACGCTCTGTGAGGATAACATGGAATGATTATTTTAGGGCAGATTTTCCCCTCAAAAAAAATATAGTTCTACATGTGCGCAGTTTGATCTTCACACAAAAGATTTATATAAGAACTCACTTCTCTCTGTCAGTTAAAAAAAAAAAAAAAAAAAAAAAAGAAAGCATGCTGGCAGGATTTAGGGAAGTGTGCAGGCTAAAGGATAGAAGCAGACAAAAGGGAATTTTTCTTCTAAGAACATCTGCACAGCTGGAACCCTGCAGTGCTGTGGTTTGACAGCCTAGGTGTTGCCTGGCTGAGGCAAGGGACAATGTCTGTTTGGCACCCTCCTGACACAAAAATTTGGCCAGAGATTCTTAGAGCAGTCCTCAGCTGTGTCCCTTGCTGTGCATACACAGATGCATGGACATTATTTTGCCATCAAATGACTGTTTTGGGGAATCTTCTGCCCTGGAGGTAAACTATACATAAATGATCTGAGAGCAAAGGTGGAGGAAGAAACTGTGATTTCTTTACATGCTAAAGTAGATATAAACCAGACACAGAGTTAACTGGAATAGAATATCTTCAATGCCTCTAGATCGGCAGAAACCAAACATCCCTGACTCCTAGATGCCCTGCAAAACGTGCCTATAGCTCAGGCTGGAGAAACTTAACAATAGGTCTGTTAGAGAAACAGCCCTGAGAGCCTAGCAAGGATAGAAAGGCTCCGTTGAGGCACCTGCACCCCAAATCTCTTTGTAAGGTCATATCACCTCCTACGGGTAGACCATAGGCTAGCTCAGTATGATCTGCTCTGTGGTGTGAAGCAAATGCATGTGTGAGTCTGGAGTGGTTCTGATTTTTGTCTGTCTCAGGCTGGCCCCATTCAGCCATCTCTGCCCTTGGTGGGGAGTGAGTCCCAGATCCAAAGACACATTCTAACAATACAGCCTGTGTGCATGCTTCTATTATAACATGATGCTTAAAACTGAATATAAGCAGGGATGAGGCTTTAGATCTTCCTCAAATCGCCCTGTAACTTTGAGATTGTCAGACAGTGCTGAAGTGAAGAGATCTGGAGTAGGAAAATTAGTGAACACAAAAGTCATGATATTTACTCAGTTTATGCATTTTCTCTCTTTTTTTCCATAAAACCTGCATAACTGGCATGTAATTGTTTTGCTAAGTGAGTCTTGAAAGCAAAAGTCTTGATAGCTGTCACATATCTTCTTTGTAGTACAGTGTGTTGTCCTCAGAAGATAATCAGAACTTGCTCAGAAAAACTTAATCAGCAGAACTGAGCACATTGTCAGTGCTTAAGAAATAATAAATTATAATAATAACCACAGTTCCTTTTGACACAACCTATCAAACTTTTTCTTTATTTCCAGGAGTATCTTATTTACGTCTGTTTAAGATTTAATACCTTCTACAACTCTGCTTGTTATGGTTGAGAGGACTGGTGATATAACCTTACAAGGTGGAAGTATTGACTGAAATAAAATTTTGACAAAGGGCAGAAACAAAATGTAAAGAAAATTATTGAAACCTTCCTTTCCACTTAGTGGTGTTGCTTTACAAGTCTTAAAAACTGAATTCAAGACTACATTTGATCTGTTCTATTGTTAAAATATAAAACACTATGCTTACAAGTTAATAGATGCACATTTAAATTTTCTGATAGTCTGTTTTTTAAAAGACAGACTCATTAGGCTTTCTTTACAGAAAGGTGAATGTGTCCAGAATAAATTAATTATTTTTATTAAAAGGAGCTTGAATAGCTCAGAAAGTTGTTAACATAGCTGGGGCTAGGCTATCACTTCTTTGCCACCATTGTAATTTGGCCTTGGCTTGGAGTTACTAACACTCATTTCATTTTCTGATCGTTTGGTAATTTTTATGCAACCTGTTGGTAGGTTTTACTCACTTTGAACAAGACATATATTCACATCATAGAGAAAGCCATCGGGTCAGCTCTAAGCTGCTGCTAATTGTCACAGGCTTAAATGGACCCGTTTCAATTTAATCCAGTTGAGGATCTGGCCAGTGATCACAACTGGCATTAATTAGCAGATGTGTTATCAGACTCCGTGGAGATGTCCTGGGTTGAGTGACAACAGAAGCGCTCAGCTGCTGCAGCCGCTGGAGCTGTGCCAGTTTGGCAGCTGATGGCACAGCGCCCGATGCTGGCAGGTGCAAAGTCCAGGTCACCCCTGACAGAGGCATGCTGGTGGCTTCTGTCACCAGTCTCCAAGTAGAAGGAGCTGCAGAAGGAGCTCAGAGCACCAGGCATGTGGTTGTAGCAAAGCACAAGCAACACAAGTCTTCTGGGAGGAGGAAGGCAGGCAGGGAAGACAGGGAGGATGGAGCGCTGAACTGACTTGTCCCTGGAGCTGGATATGCACCAGACATTGCACTGCTAGAGAAGCAAAAGCCACTAGCAAATATGTTGAGGCTCTGGCTTTCCATGTGTGCCATCTGATCAGACACTGTAATGCCAGTTGCAAGTGTGTGGCAGAAGGATAAGGGAAACACATTTAAAAAGCAGGGGATCCTGAAAAGCAGTTGAATAGCTACTGACAGTGTTAGTGCTATTATGGCTGTAAACTAGAGGTTTGGACCATGACTAGAAAAGTGTCTTGAGCAGGTCATGGGGGTGAATGAAGAGCAGGAATAAGAGGCTGCAATTTTATCAGGGAAAAAGGGCATGCTATCCTCCCTTTGCACTTATCTGAGTGCTGTGTGGGTTAAAACCAGGCTAGTAACCTGCCCAGACATTGCTGAGTAGCAGCCAGTTCCTCTTTCTCGTGCCTACTTACCTCCACAGGATGGTGGCAGGAACAAGTTGCCAAGTTAATGGCATGGGACCCTTGTAAAGATTTATGGTTTGTTAATATTTACAGGACAAAACTGGACATCAGGTAGCTCAGGGAGTAATTTTTTCAGCTCTTGACAGAGTTGGAAAATTTGCTTAACTGACCCCATGTATTTTGATGCACTGTGAAAGAAAAGAAATTCTTTTAATTGTCAGATCTTTCTGTTGTAACTTAGGTAAGGAAAACAGCAAGAGAGTGAGAGTTCAATAGTACTGAGAATGAAGAAGTTTCTAGAATGGTTGCAGACCTCTGACCCAGCTGATAGGAAGATATAGACTATTCAAGGAAGGTGCTACCACCTGCAAATTCTGTCACCCTTCCTGCACATTTCTCCCACCACTCAAAGCAAGATATGAAAAGATGTTTATGCACCTATTTGCTGTGAAAAATCTGGGTCCTTCGCTGAATAGTTATCTTTGGGCCCGAGGCCACAAAAGGGGATGACCGAGACTCATGTGGGTTATAGATGTCCAAGTCCAGGTTCCCAATCTACACACCCCCTGCATTTTTCATCACCTGCATTTTTGATAAAGTTCTTAGGACGTCTAAAACTTTTTTTCTGCTCATGCCTCTTGGTCAGTCACCAGCTCAGCTAAGTTGAACTTCCCAGCAGTTAATCCTGATTCATCTCCTCAAACCATCCACTGCTTCACTCATGTGTCTTCCAAGAGTGTCCTGGTAAAGCACATGTAACACATGATCAGGACTGAGCAGTACACAAAGTACAGCAGCTGTGTTCACTGTCATTCAAAGGCATTAACTTCAAACACCACCCAAGCTTCAGGGGCTTCAAGCCCTTATGTCTTATCTGCAGAGAGAGTGGGAACCTTAGGTAGGAAGCTGCGTACTAAATAGTCACGGGGAAAGAGATTTTTCATATTTCCTGCAGAAGTGGTGCTGAGACATATAAGGTTCTCTGGGAGGAGTTTAAGGCAATGAGGTACAGAATCAGATACAATCTCCAGCCCTCCACTGCTGAATTAACTTGGTGTTTTGGATTGATGCAAGATAGAGGATCTCTCTTGGCATACTCATTGCTGTGTAAGGTGTTTCTAAAACATTGTCTTCACAGCCTAATGAAAATACAGTGATTTTTCAGAAAAATCAGTAGAACATATCCTCAAAGGGTATGATGATTATTGGAGTTTTAATTAAAATAGTAGGTAAAATAAGTATTATAGTGTGCTATTACTTCTAAAATAACAACAGAATAAAGATGCCCATTTCTTTTTTGAGTGCAATTTTCTAAATGAAAAAGTAAACATTAATATCTGCAGAGATCTTACTGATCTTGTATGATAATTTAGAAAAATATCCCTATTAGGGATAGTTATATATGCTTTTTGTTGGAAATGCAATCACAGGATATGCACATAGCTGCAATCTGTAGACAGATTAAGTAAATTAAATCACTCAATGTCTTTTTTCAATAGCTCTAAAGTTAAAAGTAATTTGCAAAGAAAATACTCAGTTTCAATTGGTTTGTAATATCTGTTAATGATCTTTGGAAAAATTTCTGATAACATGCAGGAATTCCCTCAGGGGCAGGGTTGTGAATAAGTGGATTTTTTTAAAGTTTGAGATGTCATTAGCTAGTGATTTCTTTGAAGTAAAAAGCTGTTACAGAATAAATTGCAGAGGTATACAAGTGAACAGGACAATCATTTTTATGAATAATATACATTATTTCCACTGTGCTTTCTGGCCTCCAAAGAAATAATTTACAATCTAGCTTGCCATTACAAACATCCTGGAAGAGCAACTGCATGAGCATTTTGTTATTTTATGTGTACTCTTTGGCTTTATATAAAAGTACACCTTGATGGTATAAAATCACTAGTGTAAAGAGCTGATTTGCCCATTTTATTTTTTTTGTTTTCTTTTCCCCCATGTAGATAACTTTTTCAACCCACAAGGCTGAAAGAACTTCCCTTAACTGTAATGACCCCAGCACAGCTATTCACTAGAAGACATCCTCCATGATTTCTTAGGGGCCCATAAGATGACTGAAGTTGTAGGTAAGTGCAATCATGTCAAAAAGTGCCTCTATTCTCTTGGTACCTTGTCAGCATGAACATATTTTTAACAGTTCAGAGATGAATAGGGTATCTATCATGTCACACCACAGAAAGGTAATATAAGATAAGGCAATAAAGACAAATTATATCTCCTGGTCCCACCTTAGGATATCTCAAGTAAAAAAGAGTGCTGGAAATGTCATAGAACACACCTGTCCATGGAGAATGTTGTACTGCCTCCAAGGTTCAGTTATACCACTCAACCATGGGCACCTGAGGATGGACCTTCTACTTCCACAGGTTCCTGTGGGTGGTTCTGGGTTTACATGGAGATGGAAGGGATGCTGGTCTGGGTGATAGGGCACTGGGACTCCAGTGTGTCTGTTACACTGGTCCAAAGATACAGTTAATTGCAGCCATTGACCTTTTGATTTTCTCACCTTTCTCCAAACCTCTTTTGCCCAAGACCTTGTTGGACTTGGTCATCTTATTCCTGCAGACCTGCAGACAGAGCTGAAGACACACCATGCTAGCATGAATATGACTGATGCTCCCAGGGTTCCCATACAGGGGTGGACGAGAACAGATTTGTTGCACTCTAGAAAGAGATGAGATAATCACCAGTTTGAAAAGCCTCCTAGGCTTTTCTGACCCTCTGAAGGCCCAGTGTGATGGTTTACCATGGGTGAATGTGCTCTCTTGACACTGTCTACTGATTGGCACATGCCATGAACCACTGGGATGATCTGACATCATTGTATAATAGCAGTTAGTAAAAATCACGGATTTTTTAAGGCTAGGAGCAAACCATTATTATAATCCAATCTGATCTCCTGCATAATGCATTCTACTGAATTTAACCCAGCTTGAACTTTGTGTGAAGATTTGCTTTTATGCCTAAAAATGACTTGTAATTTCCAAATATGATGCTGTTTCTCTCAGTACTAACCATGTGATAGCAAGTTCCATTAATTAACTGTACATTGTTTGGAAAAAGCAACTCCTTTCATCCATTTGAAATTCAATACCTTTCTGTTTCACCTTGCAAGATAGGAAATATTTTTTCTTTTTCTGCTAATTAAGTTCAAAGATCCTGAGGACAGAATGTTATTTATATTATAGTCATGCTTAAGTAGAACTCTGAAGAAGCCTGGGGATCACATCATACAAAGTGAGGGAGACTGTGCAAGTCCTTTGGGACTGAGACTGTTTTAATAGATACATGGCACATTTTCAAGGAAGATGAGTGATTTAACTGAAAAAGTTGCCAGTCCAGTCAATGGATTCCTACCTCTCAACCATCTATGCCTTTCAAAAGAGAAAGGTAGAGAAAAGTGAATTTCTAAAAGTTAGACCCAAAAAATGAGTTAGGATTGTAGTCAAGTTCCTGGAAAAGGACTTTTCACAAGCGCATGAAGCGACAGGACAAGGGGAAATGACCTTCAGATGAAGAAAAATAGATTTTTATTATATATTAGGATGAAGCTCTTTACTATAACAGTGATAAGGCACTGGAACAGGTTTCCCAGGGATGTGGGACACCTCACCCTTGGAAATGTTCAAGGCCAGTTTATATGGGACTCTGAGTAACCTGCTCTAATGGGAGGTAATAATCACTACTTATGGAGGTGGGATTAGAATTAGATGATCTTTAAGATCCCTTTCAACCCTAATCACTCTATGATCCTATGATTTAACAAAGGAAAACAAGTGTTTCTAATATGCAGCTCTGTGTCTTGCCCACTGTCCATGGGTCAGATTGGCCTCCAGTGGCTGAAAGTTCTTTAAGACAACAGGGTACACTGAGGAAAATACCTGCAATATCTGGTTCATGAAAGGTCTCAGAGCCTTCCAGAGCTGCTGGGCTCCAAGGACATTTTCTAGTGTCTGAGACAACAGCATGTGTTCTAAGTTTATGGAGAAGCTTTGTTCAGTTCAGTACGATTTGAATAATCAAATAATTAAAGACGTCTAAGATCATCAAGTCCAAACATTAACTTAACACTGCCAAGTCCACCACTAAATCATATCCCTAAGTGCCATATCTAGGAATATGAGAATATGTCTCATGAGAATATATCTTTCCCGAGGGACAAGATGGTGCTTATGTTCTTTCTCTTCTCAAGACCTTTTCACTTTTATAATTTTTATTACCATTCTCTGGACTTGTTCTATTTCTACTTTCTTTTTTCAGGGATTAGGTGACAAAATTTGAAGACAGTATTCAAAGTGAGGATGTGTCACTGATTTATATAATAGCACTATAATATTTTCCATATTATTCTCTAAAACTCTTTTCTTTGTACAAACCCTGTAAGATTCTTTTAATTCTTTGAACTACAATGCCTTTTAACATCTGTAGTTTACTCTGATCAGATTTTAACAAAGGAATAAAAGGTTCCATTTTTCACATAGAATTTTATTTATTGTTTGAACTTTAGAAGAGAAATTGGTTAACTTACAATTTAAAACTCTTGGCAATGTAGACCATTGGGCAAGGATTTCATTATCGGTCCTTCTATACTTTCTGTGGAAGTGTGTGAGGCTGAAAGTTAGTGTACAAGATCTTCTCTCAATAGGCTTGTCTTTTGCTTTGTAGACATGGACAAAATCTAATTTGGAGCTACCAGCATCCCCAAAGATGTCAGAAAGGGCATTCACCTGTACCCCTTTCCTGATGAAACATACTGGAGCCCCACATTTACATGCTGTTCATCCAGGACAAAGTGTGCATACAGCACCTGAATTTTGCCATCTCTCACATACTGAACCTCACACTTCCATCCATACCAGGCCAGGGAAAGACCCCCTTGCAAATGATGCACTTGATGGCTGCAGAGGGTGAGATCTTGCTCTTGTGTCACAGCTTGCCATTATGCCTTCATCAGGATACTAGAAAAGGCTCAGGGAAAATAGTTACAGCTATTCTATCACCTGAGACACTTCTGGCAGCTCCTGCCTTTCCTTAGAATTACCAATCCAAGTGGTGACCCTGCCTGACCCTGCTTATCTTGTAAAACCTGACAAGATCACAGCCTGAAGCAGTATAGCCACAGGCTCAATACTGGCTACCAAAGTGTCTGTCTAGTATTTTCAAGAAACGTTGCTCTAAAGATTTACAATACCAGCTGCTAGATATATGGACAATACCAATGCACAGCTCTGACCCCTGAACATGGCCCCACTTACATAGAAATTTGTGCCTCTCAAGAGGCCAACACTGAGCTGCCACAAACTAGTCATTCCCTATCTGCAAGCAAGTGGATTTTAAGTACAATTTGATTACATGTACTAAGACATTGGGAAAAAGTATTTGAAAACTATGGTCTTGAGATCAGAATTCATGGTTAGTTTTTTTCATCAGTTGCATTACTACTTTAGCAATAGAATGATCTCTGCCATTTCTGTGTAATATATAGAATTTACTTTTAGTTTGGTGTAGAGAATTTTCTTCACTCTTGCATGACCAAAGCAGTTTTTCATTCGAAGGTATTTTTAGATGAACTGTAAGTTTCCTCCCCAGCAAAAATTTTAGCTACACCAAGTGAAAGCAAATGCATATTTCCTCAGCTATCGCTAAGGATAAACACAGGTTTAAATATTAAAAAAACTTTAAGGGTTTAGTTGTATATATGTTCAGACACCAGACGCATGAAGTTCTTGTGAAGTTGTGTGAGCTTTTCTCCCCCTCTTCTTCCTAGAACAGCAAAGACTTGGAACAGACACTGAGGTCCTATTGCTCCTGTCGGAAACTTCTGTTGACTGCAGCATGAGTTGGATGGGACCCAGAGAAACCAAATACAGACAAGTAATGATGAGTTGGCCATACAAGCAAGGAAAATCACAGATAACAGGTGCACACCAATTAGCAATGTATCTTTTGGGTCGTCCAGTACATCTTCCTGACACAATGAAGTTGTTTCTTATGGCATATTTTTGTGGTTTTTTTTTGCCTAGATTAAATTTCCTAAGTGATGCCATATCTCAAGGGAGAGGTTGTGTTGCCTAGAGTAGTCTGTTGTCAGGAGTTTTATCCATTCTTAACATCATAATATTTCTTCTTTTTACATCCCTTTGCAAATTTCCTTTCCCTTTGATCTCTTTTAACTAGTTGATGCTGTGTTTAGTTAGAATTAAGGCAAATTATAGATATTTAGCTCACTTAATATTTTCTAATGTAGCAGTCCTTTCAGACTTCTTGTTATTCTTCATTCTTTCTCATCACACAACTGCCTGTCAGCATCTTTATTAGTTATGAGATTTTAAAGATGTGGTGCATTTCTCTGATCTAACAACAGATCTGGTATAGAGTTGAGCACCCTTAGTGTCTTGTCACTAAAAACCCCTCCTGATGTGTCCAGAGGAAAGCTGCAAGCATTCTGAACAGGCACACAGGTAGAGTATCCTGCTTGACCCACTTCCTTGGTGCCTCTTTATTGACCCACAAAACACTATTAAAACAGTTAACCTAGGAGTTAAAAAAAGTACATGGCATTTTGCTTTTTAAAAAATTATTTCTCATAATGTAAAAAGACAGAATAACACAGATAAAAAAATCTTTGATGCTGTTGAGCTTTTCTAACCCTTGGTCATGAACCTTACAGATTAACATTAAGGAAAACATCATCTTCTGTAACTACATCTGAGTGCTAGGAGAGTACATTGTAGAAAGTAATTATATACATAGTGACAAGCATAGCTGTTCACTTCAGCCAGTAAGTTCTGATCTACAAATTACAATACTCCTTTTGTGCTAGATGAAATCTTGGTTGTAATTGACTGTCTTTACCTTTGTGTTCTGTTGGATTGGAGGAATATAATTTTAATCTGCTCTCTTTAAATTTTCATTAAGGAATATTTCGGCTACCTGCAGCCTCATCTGATGATGTTAATGAACTCAGCTAGCTCGATCTTCTGTGCACCAGCAGGGACTTCTTTACATGGGTAAACTGTATAGAACATTGTTTTCAACTTTAATGTACTTGGATTTAACCTTATAAAATAATGGCATATCTAAAGATAGGTTATATACATAGCACAGACATGTATGTATGCATTTATATGTACATGTGTATGTATACATACATAAATGCACACATATGTATAGAAATGCTGATGTTATTCACCCTTTTGAAATCTTTACAGCTAGTCTTAACATGAATGTGCTGTTAAATTTGGCAGTGTTATACATTTTTTGGAGTTTACTTCTGTAAGATAAAATCATAAAGATAAGCTGTGAAACTTGTGCAGCTGATGACATAATTCTAGAATCTTGTGATGCTGAATCTCATATTTCTATGAATGTGGGATGGATATTCCTTGTTGAAATAATTATACTGCCTATTGCAATATATGTTCCCTTGGTTTTATGTGGGTACTGAGATGTCCAAACTATTAAACATATGTGTACAATGAGTCCTGTGTTCCTTATTTATTCTAAAGAAGGCAATTAATTTCTATGATTTTATTGTATAATAAAGTAAAGTACTCTAAGAATCTCTTATGAGGATAGCAATAATCTGTGACAATATGTATATTTACTTTTAATAATGATGTCCAAATATACATATGTGCATATAAATATGCATATATGTATATACAAACACAGAGAGACATATACACAAATTAAATGAAACCAATTAGAATGTGGCATAAGTAGATTCAGAGCTTACTTGTTATGGCTGTGTGAAGTGATAATTTGAACTACAAGGATATGCAAAAAACATAGTTCAATATACTCCATTGGCTCATTCTCGTTATGTTCACCTGTGACAGGCTGTGTGCTAAGATGGGGTACCAGCAGATACTCTTAATGACAGCTGGCTCCAAACAGAGCTTTCAAAGTAGTACAACACCCCAACTTCCTTCCAAATCTTGGTGCTTGCTAGTGCTTAACTGAGGCTGGTTCTTAAAGTCAGATGTTCAGATATAAGTTATTTGGAAAGAATCTGATTCTTTATGTTCAAACTGTTGATATATTCAACATATAGGCTTTTTGTTGCCCATGATTTTGCATTTGAGCTCACACATAGATTATGCTCGTCTATTATCCACAAAAATGATGGATGTTTCTCCCTATACTCTATTTGCCTGGGATGTTCTCTATCAATTTCTTCACTCTCTTGTGGGCTACATAAACTGAGATTTGGATGGGAGCCTTTCTTTTTACTGGGACCAAAAAAATCTGCTAGCCACTATGTTGAGAAAGGGAGAAAATCAGCTTTACTCTAACATCACCCTATATTACACCCCCTAAGCTCAGCCAACCAGGAACACAGCAAAAAAAAAGCCCAACTGAGCTTCAGTTGTTGTGTGTGAATTTTCCTGGTGGATGCAAACAGAATCTGGAAATACACATGCTCCTCCTTGGGAGAGAAAAGCAAACAGGTTTTATCTATTTGCAGTTGAACTAAGTGAAAAATAGCCAGGGACAGAAAGCACACTTGAAGGTAAGATAGGAATATAAGTAAATATCACTATGCTAAATTCAAGGGAAATGTGCCACAGTGTTATAATTATTACGGAGAACATGTGCTACTTAATTGTTACACTGTGTTGGTGCAAGAGTTGAGTATTCCATATGGGACAAATAGAGGAGCTGACCCTGGGATGCTGTTGGCTCTTGTTTAGAAGCCAGTATGTGAGGAGCATGCCATGAATGGCCTTGTGAAAATGAGACTGGTGAGCTGATTTGGTCTTAGAAATTACTTTTCAGAAGGGTTAGAAAAATATTTTAAATCTCTGATAAATTTTAGTTGTGCTAGATGACTGGACAGCTGAATGTGTGCAGTGTATTCGAAAACAGTTTTTTGTTCGCCATACCACTTGGGCAACCCAAGCACTAAGTGTCAGGCCTTCCAAGGAATTCAGACAAAAAATAGCCCTGCTGTTAGGGGATCTTCAGTGCTGCCAGGACACTTCTCTGTAGATGAAATAAAGGAGACCTGAGCATCAGGGAGTTCAGAAAAGCATTGACCATGTGCCTATCAGTCTCTTTTGGATCTACACTCATTTCTGGCGTATTGACCCTGCTTTAGCTGGAGGTGCATCTGGGGAGATGTTGAGGGGAACAGGATAGGTCTGTCCTCATTTCTGGAGGAGGTATGGGTCTCCTGCAAGCCAGAGGTCTGTGCAGGGCTGTTTCCCTGCAGCAGGCTTGCTTGGCTTACAGACACCCGTCGTGCTAGCTCCAGCATGGTACGTGTGAGCAGTGTTGGCCACGCTCACAGGCTGGCGATGCTCCTGTTTGCCATCAGCCTTCCCTCCTGGATCAGGGCCGCTACCGATTGCTGAGGGGTGGCCAGGAGCAGCTCCCTCTGGTGAAACTCTTTTGTGCTTTTATCTCCCTTTTCTTGGCAGTAAACTGCCACTGGCTCCCAGCCATGGCCCTCTCGCCCTCCCCAGTGCCCAGCTTGCATGCTCAGCCAGTGCTTACATCTCTTCCAGCAGCTGGCCCTACTCTTCCTCCACAGCTGGCTGCTGCCCCCTACTGTGGTAATTATTATTTATTATGGATATTCAGTGTACATTATGTGTCCAAAGTCCAGTACAGTCTGAATCACTACCAGGGTCCCACTGTGTGGGCAGAAGCACACAGCCATACAGAGTTGTTTCACATTGATATTCACTTGACTCTCACACAGGGAAAGACTGAGGGGAAAGGGGTGAAGGTGGCTGTTGGCACCTATTAGCACTATCTGATGTGACACCTACTCTCTGTGCCGTGTTACGTGACTCCTGCAATAGCACAACTGAGCGCAGAGCTCCTTTTTCTCCACCTTGCTATCAGTAGCAGGTCTCCTGCTATTCCTGTTACCTAGCTGGAAACACCTGAGGTGTTTTCCAAAAGCCATGGTTGCTACATAATCACAGTTTAACTCCCTGTTGCTGTGAATGCAGACATTGCTTGGCACAGCATGGCTATGTGGGATACCATTTTCTTTCCTATTTCTCTCCATCACCTTCTTCTCTGGGTTTCTTTGTTATGCATCCCTTTCCTTACACTTCAACATTCCTTCGCACCCTGCCTCCCTGAGGACACCACCCTCAGTTAAAAACAGAGGTGCTGTAACTCCCACAACTTAGTGCACAGGCAAAAGTACCTGGAGAGAGAAGCAGATTTCTGTACATTTGGAAAAACAGAATCCGGGACATATTTCTCACATATATGTGCATGTGTGAGAGGCAGGTTCTCAGCACTGCCCTGTTCAAGAGGATGGAGCAATACTGCTCCATGGCAGCTGAGGCTCTGTCCCAGTATGTAAATGTAAATATCTATTTTTACAAACCCTCCTACAGTTTGCTTTTAAAAAAAGCTTTCTCTTTAGACACCGGAAACATACAAACCAGTGAGAAGTGTCCCACTTTCTATATTTTCTCTATTTCCTACCTGTGACTTCATTTGAAAGCTTTTAAAATCTAATGAATTCAAGAGACAAAGTGAATTAAAACTGAAGAAGCTTTGCCTTCAGTACACTGGGCCTAGTCTACAGGAATTAAAAAAAAACTAGGATAGAAAACAGAAGGGTACAAAGCCATGTAAGTCCAGATAATTTAAAATGTTTGATTGTAAGTGGGCTCACCAAACCCTGCAAAATTTCCACTGTCTATTACTTGCAATCTTCTGCCCTTTCAGCTAGCTGCAGCAAGTTAATGTAAAGAACAAATACTTACAGTCTCTGCATCAGAGCACTTTTTGCCATGGATCACTTTTTAAATTGATTCAGGTTTACATTTAATTGCTTCCTTTGCATGCTATGTGTACACATGCACTCCTCCCACCCCCTATATTTAATACGTAACTGTTGGGTAGGCTGAAGTCTTTGAATATGGAGTATTCAAACCTCAGAGCACAAGCCTCAGGAGTTTCAACCCAGGAATTGATTTGTCCTCTTTTAAGATGGGAACCACATGTGTGACTTGAATCCAGATCTTGGGTGATTCTGGATACACTTATTTGAATGCATCAGGATTTGGGATTCAGACTAATTTATTTTTTATGACACTAATCCTGACACCTACTACTGGGTTTTTACCTTTCCTTGCCTCAATAGAAAGAGAAATGCTTCTCATATTCACTTCTTCCAGACTGATTTGGAGTTCATTCTAGGATGAAATAATCATCAAGTATTATTCTCAGTTTTGTTTCTTAATATTCTCTGTGATAATTGCTTATAATTGACCTCTGTAAAACCTTTAGAATCTTTAGATCATTTGGTCTCCTTTCTCTGAGAAGACTCTGTCATCCCACTTTTTCTCTGAAGGCTGCTCCACTGGTTTTTCAAAGTAACCAAGTGCACTTTCCCTCTTTGTAACAGCCTTAGTGGTTTGGGAGACTGAAGAACACCTTCATGGGGTGTTCATGTCCAACAAGCTCCTCTCTTGAGCTGTTATTCAGAACTAGTGTTTTTGGGCTCTCTAAAACTGTGGCAAACTTCAAAGCTCTTTTATTCCCAGGATTTTCCTCATCTCCTTTTGAAGACAGGCAACATAATAGGGCTTCCCAGCCTTCTTGTGCTGCTGCATTTTTCAAGGAAAGAAGGCATCCTCTTGTCAGTATCTTGGCTTTTTCTCACTTTATTTCCCCTCAGAACTCCCAGATGAACACCATCCGGTTGTGGTGATTTACTGCACTTGAGTTTCTCAAGTTACTCTACAACTTCCTCCTTAGAGACTTCAATCTGTATAAAGGCCACACTCTGATTTTCTTTGCAAAGTGCCTTTGGCACAGGAATTCCACACCACTCTCAGCAGCAGACACAATGCAAAAGATTAATTTAACTCCTCTGCTAGCTTGTTGAACTCTTCTGACCCACTATATATGGATTTGTGGGGATCTCTGCAATGTTTTTGTGCAAAGTCCAGGCTAAGAACAGTATTTGCCAACAGGTGAGGCATGACTCTCTAGCGGTATTCTCTTGCTGCTGCACTGAAGGATATTTCTGTGTGTATTACAGCCACTCTCAGCACACATCATTTGACTGGTTTACTAAGCCCAGTATCATTCCTCTGCACCATGTCTGTCACAGGTGGGTTAAATTCTCACCCATGCAAACTGGCACTGTTTCTAGGGTGATGCTCAGGTGAGGAGCTAGTCCTGCAGGAGACCCTTCCCTAGTGCTTTGGCAATCCACCTCCTGACAGGTCACAGCAAGAGGCAGGATGAATGCTCAGCACCACAACCCAAGAGGAGTGAGGTTTGTATCCTAGCCTGTGGTCTGGCCCTCATCAAGTGAAAAACCCTTTGGTCTTTTGCCTTTCATAAAGGGAAGTTGGAGGGCTGGAGCAATCCTTTCTCTTTTCTGCTCTTTCTTTTATATATTTTTATTTCTGTTTCTTCCCACTCTCTTTCTGTTTTGAGAAAGACAGAAACTGCCGTATGGCAAATCCAGTCTTAAATTATTTTGAAGGACAGAACTAAAACATCAGAAATGGGGCAAACACTCTTCATGTCCTATTTTATTCTCTGGCTGATGTAGATTTGCCTTCAGTCCCGATATTTCAAAAGAAGGTCAGTTTTATGAAAAAACATACTCACAAACACTACTATGCTTTGTGACTTAAAATTTATTTTAGTGAACTTTGATGACCATAACTTGGTCTGTTTATAGAGTTAAACCCAAGAAATTAGCTTAATTTGTACTGCATTCACTAAAGAAATATATGTCTGATTTAAGACACAGACAATCATCCCTTTGATATGGTATGGATATGAGATTGACATTCACTATAGCTGCCTAAGGCCCAGATATGGAGACTATGCCAGAAATCAGTTTCATGACTTCATCCATCAAAGAGAAAAGCATTTATGCTGTTCAGTTTGTCCTAACTTTCTCAAAGGAAAAGCTGTAGAAAACCTACTGTGAGTATCCTTATTTCACTAACTTTCTTATTTCAAATGAAGAATTAAAATCTGAGAGCTCTATTTCTCAAAGGCTTTTGTGAATAAAGACCCTGAGCTTCCTAAAACTTCCTAAATTGAAGTGAAATATGTCTCAAGATTCATAACTGCAGAGCTGTCAGCTGAAGTCCAGCCTATGAAATCTATGTCAAGATACAAACAGGCATGCTCATCCCTAGCACATCTGTTTGTAATAAATGAAAATGCCTTAGAAATTAATTGAGTCTTTCATTTGCTAAAATTTGGAACCTCATGAACAGAGCAGGATTCTTTATAAATTGCTGTGGCTGTCTTAGAATTAGCTATCTAATCTCAGATAACTTTTCTTTCCCTGCCTGTCATGGTAACACCTCCAGATCCCTGTTCAACCATTTCATATGGCCATTATAGTATGGTATCTCATGTGGCCATATGAAAATAAGTCTCTGTTACTGGTCGAGTCTCTTTCTCTCTCAGCTACAGAGGGAGTGTAGGCAATTGCCTCAGAGCAAACCACTAAGGTGATACTATCTCTTTGCTAATGTCTCGGTTCATTAACATTTTAAATTCAAGGTAAGTAATTCTGATTTGATGTATGATTTTCTTTTACTATTGTCCACAGTAATGACAATGCCTCCCAAATATCCCTCTTCTAATCAGTTTTTACTGAAATGCTTTCCAGTTTTTCTGCTTATTTAATAAGAAATGCTACTTTCTTGGTGTCATTTTCATAATCTACAGGTATTCTTATTTTAACTTGCAATATTTTGACTGAATATGGTGATATACTAGGATCCCACTTAGCACATGAGCAAAATGATCTTGTAGTACTGTACAAAGTTAAGATACAGAGAATGAATTGCAGGGAGGCAATTTTAAGATGCTTCTCCTAACCGATATAACCAATTTTGTACAATTGTAATATTGACAAAATACATCAGAATAAATATCTGAATTACTTTGAAAGCATAATTTCAATGGTCAGAACAAATATAATGTGTTGATATTTGTAAAATATGGTTGGCAATAACTAAGTGAAGTAATTGAAATCACACTATACAGCATATAAAGCAATTTCTCAGTTTTTGCATTCTATTTTCTCACAAAACGAGCAGGTTACACAATGCCCTAAAAATTAAGGTTCTAGGAGATCTAAAATCTTTCAAAGGCCATTGGGTAGAGACACCCAAAGGTATACAAAGCACAGAAGACAACATAAAGAGTAGTCCTATAGAGATGTATAGCTCTTCTTAGTTAAGAAGCAAGGCAAGACATGGCCTTTTATTTTAATAATGCTTCCAGAACTTAAAAAGCCTGTTACACGGCCATACTAGTGAGAGAAGAGTACCAACTACTGCTGTTGGAAAGGTACAAAAAGTAGCAAACCTTTATTTTGGCTTTTGGGTACCTTTAAAGCCTGTTTACTGTGTGGAATGTATCTGCTGTCAGGAACAGGCTGGTCCCTTCTCAAAATCTCTGCATCAGCAATCAGTTTTTCTCATTAAGACTTGTATGCTATTATCTTTATTCTATACCTCTCTAAGATGCTGAAACTATTGTTCAAGGCTCAAATTCTGGTTCACCTGCCAGTGGTCTGATCACACCCACCATTGCACCACCCCAGCCCCTTACTGCACCTCACGCAAGAATGTGCAACACCTTCCTCTCCTCTTCATGGGATTTTTTTTTTTGCCAGGACTTAATAAGGCAGATAGGACAAGACAGTGCCTGGAAGTGCTGCCTCCTGTGTCAGTCAGGCTTCTAAAAATTCTCCATGCCCCCATATAGCTTTCTGTGGGCAACTACAAGAAATATGCACAGAATGCTTTTTGGAGAGTGACTTCTTCACACATCTCTGCATAGTCCCAGGCAGTAGTCTGCATTTTTGCTTGGGATGATAGGAAATATTCACAGACAAATAACAAACAGCTGCTCTTATAATCTTCATTGATGTCAAAGCCTGTTGTGTAGGTGAACCAGGAGGAAAAGCCTATTGTAAAGTATGAATCGAGTAAAACTATGTTGAAACATTCCACACAATTGAGCACGTTTGCAGGGATGATTACTTCTTCACTTCCCAGTACTCAGTATATTGCTTGCTTCTCTCCGTAGGACCTACTTCCTGATGATACACTACTGAATGGAGGAAATCTGTGCCATAGGTATGATGGTGGATGCAAAATTAGTGATTAGTAAACATCTTTCAGTTGGTGTTGAAAGCAGAGATGAACAAGAAATGAACTTTAAATGCAAAAAATTGGTTGATTACATCCATTACATTCACAGGGTGATTAATGGTTATCTTCTCTCTGCAAATTTTCATCAACATTGAAAAATTTTGCCAAATCTAAGAAAATTACTGTTACTTGCTCATGCATTTGAGTATAGTCAACAGTTTCTCATTTACTTACAAAGCATTTTTAAATTTATCTATAATTTCTGTATTCTTCAATATTTTATGAAAGTTCTGTCACAAATTTGGATGTGTAAATGGGATCTTAAGGATAGATGAACATAACTCTCCAAAGAGTTATGATGTAACCTTGGCTTGCAAGAGTCTATTCTAGGAGGAATTTTGATTAATCTTCAGATGCAAATGTCACAGTTTAGGGCCATTTATAAAATTTTTGAGTCTTACAACTGGCTCTGAACATTAGTGTACTTGGGAGCACCCATGACACTGTGTGTGATCTCAAAGTGGTGTCTTGGAAAGGCAGGTTTTGTTCTTTTTTCCCCTATAGATCCTTAAAAATATGCAAATCTATGTGATCTGCATCTCATACAAAGAGTTGAACATTCAGCTATGGATCAAAGATTAGAGCATATGCCTATTATTGCAGCTGCCAGTTAACTGATCCAAATGTTTAACTCTTTAAAGAAATAGAGGGTCAGCAGCTTTCTGAATAATTGTTTCCAGACAGTCTTCTGTTAGTTGGATTTCTATATCACATTCAACTTCAATTGCTGCTGTCATTTATCTCCATTCCACAGAGTTTAACTTTACTAAATTCACATGTTAGCATCTGAGACACTTACTCTTAGACACATCTAGAGCATGCTCCATGCTCATTGACTGTTTTTTATGGTACCTCATAGATTAAATGAGAAAAATTGATGCCTTCCAAACACCTGCCTCATGTCTTTTGTCATGCTTGAAAGTGCAGAGACAAAGAAACCAGGCCATAAATGACTCAAAAATTGCTCAAAAATAAAACAAGTCAGGGTGTGTACAAACCTTTTTGAAAGCTTGTCTTCACTTCTGTATTGACAGTCAGAATGGAAGGCGGTTTGATGACAGCCACGGAGCCACATTTTGAGAGAATATTGGGCCGCACTTCCTTGTCTTTCAGTCTTGTCTTGCCCTCATGAAGAAAAGATCTTCAGAGGTTCTCTGATCATGCCCTTTGTCCCACTCTGGTGGGTGCCACCTCAGCCTCAAGCTCCCCAGACATTGGACTTTGTGTTGGGATCAGCATTACCATCCACATTTCAGTGCTTCCTGCTGGAGAGTCACCAGCTGCTGTCTGCAGGCTCTCATGCTGTGTCAGCCTCCTTCACCATCTTCCTCCTACTTTGGTGAAGTTGCCAACCAGGCAGTTGTTTTCTAAAATGATGCAAAAAATGATGTAGGGGGGTTATTTTTAGGTGATAGTAAACTGAAAAATAAAACGTATTGGAACTCTGTTCTTATTCCAGTTTTGGTCTGGACTATTCAGCACCATCATGCCCTACTTCATCAAGTTACCAAGTCTCAAGTTAAATGCTTTCCTCAACAGATATTTGATTTTGAGGAAGAGAGCAAACATGCTAGTCTAAACTTAAAAAGACTAAGGAGGCAAAAGGGTTAAGGACGGGGTCTAGACCCTTAGCATCTCCTCAGGAGGAATGATAAACACCTCTCTTTGGCCAGGTCCAGTTTCCTACACCTTTCTGAGGAGCAGTAATGGAGAGTGCTATTTATTATGTGTTGGGATGAACATAGGGAATGTTTTCCACCATTTAAAAAAATAGAATCCAGAATTTATGGGAGTTTGAAAAGCAATTTCCTTTTAAGGTGCAAATTCCTAATTTGCCACATAAAAGTACAGGAATTAAGTGCTAAATCCTTCTTTGCCAGTGAGACTTGTGAAAGGAGGTACGAAAAAAGAGTTACTGTTAGGTTTCTATTCATGTCTCCTGAAAGCCAATGTATGCAAAAGTGCTGAAACAGCCCTGATTTTTTTTTCAAAGCCTTCCTGCCGTTTCTGACTGACTTTTAAAAAATGAACCCTTGTCCAGTTTTATTTGTGTGGTGGGTTCTGATTTTGTTCTGCCTGTACTGCATCACTTTTCTCTCCTCACCATTAATCTTCCATGAATGTTCCCTGGGGCACAGTTCTCCCTTTTCTGCATGGAGAGTTTCTATTGAAATTAATGGACTTTCTTCTTGTGGGTGGAAGGAAGAATACACCCTTATATCAGCCCTGTTGCAAAAGAATATTATTCATTGAAAAATAGTGTTAGTCTCACTCCTGAAAGCCCAAGGTCTAGTCAGGCAGATTATAGTGGGAGATCCCAACAGGAGGTCTGGTACAGAAGCAAGAACTACTTGTCCAACATGAAAACAAAAGCCAGAACAGGAGACTTTTAAAATGTTGGAACAAAACCCCATGAAAGTCAGTGGCTATACTGTGTGATGAAGTGTACTGTCCCAAGACTAATTCTAGGGCAGATCCATCTGGTGGAGTACAGTGCAGTGAAGATATCCATTCATGACCTGTAGAACCAGGCATGCTCACAAGAACAGCATGGCACCAAAGACTAATTTGATCTGCAAAGAGGCACTGCAGATTGGCCAGAGGTGCTGGGACATGCAAATAAAGGTATATTGTACTGTGCAGAAGTATCACCTCATTTGGAGCGTGGGCTTGGGAGCTTGGGCATCTTTGACACAGTTGAGCACTGCACAATGTACACATGCTAATAAGCATGGCTACATGCCCTGAGAGGCTTAGATGGAAAAGTCTTATGTTCCTTCACAGAGAACCCTTTGCTGAATTAAAGAGGGTGTTGACAACCTTCAATTGAAACTGCATAAATTCTCATAGGAAGGATAGTAGATGCAATATGAGGTCTTGAGGCAGGCGGATGACCTTATAAAATATACTACAGTATCTAAGTTTAGTAAAACAAACACACTATATTTAAGTAGGCTATGGAAATGTAAACATGCTTCAGGACTGGCCCCAAGCAGTATATGTTACGGTAATGTTGCTGTCACATTTTAGATAGATCATTGCTGTAGATACTATAATCTAAAGCTAGGAGATAGAATTTAATATGCATGGAGAAATTTAAACAGAGGATAAAAAGCCCTCTTTCCTCAACAGTATTTTCAAGAATGAACCTCATCTCCACCTTGTAATAAAAAAAACCCTCAAGCTTGTCTGAGGAGGCATTACATAGATGGACTAGGCCACTCCAATATTTTTAATCATTTGGGATATTTCACAGGGAAGTCCTTCTAGTAAGGATGACTCTTTCCATGGTGCCTATTTGCTTCCCACGATTCTTTGTACCATGCAGTGCCAAAAAGGGTAGCAAAGGTTTGACAACCACTGTGGCAGACAAATAAGGATTTCTTGTGTGTTTACGGTTTGTGAAACCTTGATTGTTGTATAATTAACATGTCAGTTACCCTTGGATTTTCAGTTTTAGCAACCCATGTGTTTTTAACGTTTACATTTGATTTGAACATCTCTGACAAAGCTCTTGTTACTCCTTGGTGTGTATTTGTATTTTGGTTGAAGATTATGTACATATCTATCAAGATTTTTGCTTTAGACTGTGCTCTATCCGCTCCTTCCACCAAACCTGAATCACTTGCTTTAAGATTAGCCTTGTCAAATTTACTTAAAGTGACCAGGCAAATACATACAACTAATTTTGTTATAGGCAAAATTAACTAATGCTCTTTTTCATGGTGAGGTGCTGTAATGATTTTATATAGCAGTCAAACTATTTAAATACTAATGCTGTCTTCATGCTGTAATCACCATTCTAGTCAGATGTCATTTTTAGTAGCCTATAGGGAATTCCAGCCCTTAATTATTCTTCAATACACAAACCAAGCATTCTTTAATTGGTGTAAATTGAACAGTGTTCCAATGCAAACAAGAAGAGGACAAACTAATCAATGATTCTGTGCATGTCTATTGGAAAGCTATTGCCATTAGATCAGGTAACGAATCCTTGACTCCATTAGCTTCAGAAGAACAATGCAGGAAAAATACTGCTAATGCCACTTCTTACTATCAATCAGCAATGAAAAGTGTGTAGCAAATCCCTTAGCAGAACCCCATCTTTTCTTGAAAGTGCTCATGGAAATTTAAAATATGAAGATATTCTAAGTTCAGACTACTGAGTCATATGTCTTTAATGGGGATTTGTCTGGAAACAATGTGTTTTTATTCTCTGCTTCCTTTAGTCATGTGGTCTGTTTTTTATTTTTCTTTTTCAAATAAATGATTCTTGAATGATAACAACTTTTTTCAACTTGTCAGGAACTTTTGGGTGAATTTTCTGTCTCTCTCAGGCTGTTCTCTGTACATTCATATGTATTCACTACTGCAGCACAACATAAATTTGTTGGCTCTCCCACTTCTTTTTTTTAATACTATCTCAAATAAAGGTGCTGTATTTAAGAAACAGATGAAAAATCCTTCTCATAAATGTGTCACACTCACTTTTCATTCTTGTCTCTTTTTATCAGTTCTCTAAAACTGATTATTTATCTCTGGAGAGGGAGGAAAAAAAAAGTAAAAGGCCCATTACAAACCTCTGGCCCAGATCTGCCAGTCTTAGAGTTTTAGTTTGTGTGGAAAGTGAAACTCCTCTGGAAAGAGATATACTGGCTATGGTTGTTCACTTTTTAATCTATTTGTTTTTGATATAATATGCTATTTACTGTTTAAGGACCTTTCATGTTGCTTTAAATTGAAGTTTTTAAAACGAGTCTAGCATAAAAAGCTCTAAGTGACATAGGCTGAGTAGAAAAATACAGCATCTTGTACAGACAGCCTTTGTTCACCACATTACAATTGAAAGCAGTGTAGAGCAGGCTTGGTAGATAACCTGCCTTCTTAAAACAAGAGGGTTTCTAATTTCCACACATCCTAATCACAGTCACATTACTTCACTCTCTGTACCAGACCCCTCAGGGCTGGCTCTAGGTTTTGCTGTGAAGTCACATGTGTGGGGCCTGAGGCATTTTTCCACTTTACTTTTTTCTTTTTTAATCCTTTTGCCGGTTGGGACTCTCTAACTGGCTCTGTTGTCATGGGTGGCTGACTAGTGTGGTAAGGAAGAGAGCAGCACAGGTAATCACCCTCCAGGTTTCATACTTGTTTTTTTTCTTATGAAGATGAAGATGTTGCAATATGTGTTTGCTAAGGAAAAGGAAGCTTCTCCCCTCACCTCCTTTCCCAGACCAGTGTGTGATTTCCACGTAATAAATTCCCCTCTGTTTCCCTACCTTTTTCCTTTGCTGCTTAGCTCTTGTGTGTGGTTGTACTATTTCTCAAAAAATTAAAATGTGCCATCTGGCTTAAGGTATCTTTCGTCTTTCAGTTGCTCTTCAATATTTTCTGTGGTAACTGTTAGAGGATGTTGATACCAGCAAAAGGTTATGACACTTGAAATGGGGATTGTAGAGTGATGAAGAGGATTTTCAAGAGTGATAAACTCCTCACTCTGATGACAGCATGTTTGGAAAGCCAGTGGGTCCTTTGGAGTCTGTATCTGCTTCCTTGATTTGGAGATTTGGCCCCTGAAAAAAAGGGATACTGAATGTCTGGGGTCCAAGCAGATGGGAGACACTCAAAGAGAGATTGTGGGGCAGCTGCGGGGTGCAGAGGGGATATGTACCACCAAACAGTCAAGTCTGACTCTACCTTGTATTAAAAAAAAGAGGCCTTTTATAAGTCCATAATACTTGTACTATGTTACAAAGGGAAAACTGTATCTAAGCAGAATGTTAGATTAAGATGTTTCTATAAAGATTTCCTAAAGTTAAACTTTGCATGTTTTGGTAAATCTTGTGAATATCACTTATTAAAAAAAGATTGTTGCACCACTATTTCCATATACATGAACAAGCCTAACTGCAGTTGAAACTACATAAAAAATTAGGCCAACTTCAAAACTACACTTGGGATCCAAATGACACCACTGGGAAGATTTAGCATAAGAAGTTTACCTGAAGCTGGAACCTGTGTTTGCAATTCTGTGCCAAATGTGGTTTGGGCTATAAGAAAGGACTAAGATTTGTCATCTGATATTAATGAAAAACAAATAACATATTTATTTTGGCTTATTTTTCAAAAAAAGCCAGCCCTAGATTTCTGGGAAAGCTTCAGTAGAATAATTTCTTAATCACGTCTATGTTCTTAGGCATATCTGGCCTTCAAAGTCCATAATAAAACTCCCCACTGATTCCCTTGGGATTATGTCCCTCAGAATGGATGACAGGAGAAACAAATACTCATCAGGCCTCAGCCATTGCCTGGCAATCCCAAGGGAAATGCCCCTCTGATCCCCACAAGGAAATCCTCAGACACTATTTTACAGGATAAGGAAAATCTCCTCTTTCCCAAGGATGACAGAAAGAAAGACAGACCACGTGAGGCAGGATGTGCCTATCCCCTTTTGAGACAAA